CAACCATCTTTATACAAAGTCAGACGCCTGATCCATTAGGCCACGCGGTCAAATCCATCTGCAAAAGGGCTTCTAAGCTATACTTTTATGTGAACCTTCAACTAAACTCCCCCAGGGGTTTGCAATGGCCTTTACCAGGTTTCGGAATGAAATAAGTGCGCGCCCGCTGTGGTTATGTGGATATCCCACCACTCACTGAAAGCTCAAAATGGTTTCCTCATACTAGCAGGTATACACTGTGGTTTCAAAAGAAGAACTACAGACTCTCAAGACTCTCCGAAGGAGGGTGGTCTGCTAACATGCAGGGCCGCGTGGCCTAATGGATAAGGCGTCTGACTTCGGATCAGAAGATTGCAGGTTCGAATCCTGCCGTGGTCGAATATTTATTTTTACACTACAGGAATTACTGTCACATTGAATTTTCACGAAGTTCATATTTTGCAAATTGTTAGACAAGGGATGAGGGGTCGGTCAGGGATAGATTCAGTTGAGGGCTTATGGTTTGGTGAGGCAATAGGGTGAGCTGAGAAATACGGTGCAGTTCAGGGTACGGTCAGATCATGTGGGGTCACAGTTAGGTTAGAGGTGAGGAGTTCGACAGGAGGTTGTGTTAGGGTTAGGGTGAGCTAAGTAATGTGTTGTAGGATAAAGTGAGTGGTTCGAGGTATAGCAAGATGTACGGATCAGAGTTAGCTAAGAGTTTAGTGTGAGATGATTTCAAGTAGGACAATATGGAGATGTTATAATACCTTTTTCAAAATGATGTGCATTAGTGAAACAAACCTCTGTCACGGCGTCGACTCACACTTCAAGATTTAGTCGCTGAACCTTGCTCTCCTTGCTCAAAAGAACAATGTAGAAGTTATATCATCATTGGGTGCCCTAAACCACGTGGCACAACTGCAGATACATTGATATTGTTGTTCGTTAAGAATTCGATTATATTAAAATAGGCAAAAGAGATAAGAGTGAGAAACGATCTGGATCTTTGTATTAATTGCATTGCAAGAAAACACAATAACAGTAAAAACACATCAGCTTCAATCCAACCACGGCAGGATTTGCACCTACAACCATCTTTATACAAGGTCAGACGCCTGATCCATTAGGCCACGCGGTCAAATCCATCTGCAAAAGGGCTTCTAAGCTATACTTTTATGTGATCCTTCAACTAAACTCCCCCAGGGGTTTTGTGATGGCCTTGATCAGGTTTCGGAATGAAATAAGTGCGCGCCCGCTGTGGGTATGTGGATATTCCACCACTGACTGAAGGCTCAAAATGGTTTCCTCATACGAGCAGGGATACACTGTGGTTTCAAAAGAAGAACTACAGACTCTCAAGACTCTCCTCAGGAGGGTGGTCTGCTACTACGCAGGGCCGCGTGGCCTAATGGATAAGGCGTCTGACTTCGGATCAGAAGATTGCAGGTTCGAATCCTGCCGTGGTCGAATATATATTTTTACATTACAGGAATTACTGTCACATTCAATTTTCACGAAGTTCATATTTTGAAAATTGTGAGGCAAGGGGTGAGGGGTTGGTCAGGGATGACTTCAGTTGAGGGATTATGGTTTGGTGTGGCAATATGATGAGCTGAGTAATACGGTGCAGTTAAGGGTAAGGTCATGTTATGTGCGGTCAGAGTTAGGTTAGAGGTTAGGAGTTCGTCAGGAGGTTGTGTTAGGGTTAGGGTGAGCTAAGTAATGTGTTGTAGGATAAAGTGAGTGGTTCGAGGTTTAGCAAGATGTACGGATCAGAGTTAGCTAAGAGTTTAGTGTGAGATGATTTCAAGTACGAAAATATGGAGATGTTATAATACCTTTTTCAAAATGATGTGCATTAGTGAAACAAACCTCTGTCACGGCATCGACTCACACTTCAATATTTAGTCGCTGAACCTTGCTCTCCTTGCTCAAAAGAACAATGTAGAAGTGATATCATCATTGGGTGCCCTAAACCACGTGGCATAATTGCAGATACATTGATATTGTTGTTTTTTAAGAATTCGATTGTATTAAAATAGGCAAAAGAGAGGAGTGTGAGAAACGATCTGGATCTTTGTATTAATTGCATTGCAAGAAAACACAATAACAGTAAAAACTCATCAGCTTCAATCTGACCACGACAGGATTTGCACCTACAACCATCTTTATACAAAGTCAGACGCCTGGTCCATTAGGCCACGCGGTCAAATCTATCTGCAAAAGGGCTTCTAAGCTATACTTTTATGTGAACCTTCAACTAAACTCCCCCAGGGGTTTGTGATGGCCTTTACCAGGTTTCGGAATGAAATAAGTGCGCGCCCACTGTGGTTATGTGGATATCCCACCACTCACTGAAAGCTCAAAATGGTTTCCTCATACTAGCAGGTATACACTGTGGTTTCAAAAGAAGAACTACAGACTCTCAAGACTCTCCTCAGGAGGGTGCTTCTCTACCATGCAGGGCCGCGTGGCCTAATGGATAAGGCGTCTGACTTCGGATCAGAAGATTGCAGGTTCGAATCCTGCCGTGGTCGAGTATTTACTTTTTATTACAGGAATTACGGTCACATTGAATTTTCACGAAGTTTATATTTTAAGTGTTAGGCAAGGAGTGAGGTGTTGGTCAGGGATAGATGCAGTTGAGGGCTTATGGTTTGGTGAGGCAATAGGGTGAGCTGAGTAATACGGTGCAGTTCAGAGTACGGTCATATTATGTTGGGTCAGAGTTAGGTTAGAGGTGAGGAGTTCGACAGGAGGTTGTGTTAGGGTTAGGGTGAGCTAAGTAATGTGTTGTAGGATAAAGTGAGGGGTTCGAGGTTTAGCAAGATGTACGTATCAGAGTTAGCTAAGAATTTAGTGTAAGATCATTTCAAGTAGGTACATATGGAGATGTTATAAAACCTTTTTCAAAATGATGTGCATTAGTGAAACAAACCTCTGTAACAGCTTCGACTCACACTTCAAGATTTAGTCGCTCAACCTTGCTCTCCTTTCTCAAAAGAACAATGTAGAAGTGATATCATCATTGGGTGCCCTTAACCATCCGGTATAATCTAGATTTGAAGTTTTCGTGACTGCAGGGATCCATACTCATTGGTTCTTTCGGTAAAGTCACGTAGGTAGAAAACAAAATAAATTAAATCACGACGTTTCAATTGCAACAAAAGCAATCATCATCAGGTGGGAAAACCACTGCAAGAATGTTTTTGATGAAGTTGGAGAGAGTTGCCGTTGTAAGAGGTTATATAGGTAAGAAAGGGGGAGGAGCAAGGGGGGAGAGGGGGGGGCGGGCGCTGCGTGGTGTAGAGGTTCCTGGCAGATATGATAGACGACAATCACTACAAAGCAGTTAGGGTTTTACCTGGTTAATAACATCCTTCCAATGATTGCTAAATTTGTATCCATCTTCTCGGTTGAAGTTATGTCTATGTTTATATATCTAGATGGCTTCATGAACAAACCTTTGACAGTAGCCTGAAGGTTTGCAGAGTACCTTGGTATTCTTGGTTCTTTCGGTAAAGTCACGTAGAAGGGAAACAATAAAATAATATAATATCATGCAAGCACACAGCGTTATAACAATGGTCAGCCACGGCAGAGGTATTGGTTCTGCCGTGTTTCAGATTTGCCTTGCGTTCGCGAACACGGTCCGTGATATGTCGTTTCGTTTCCCCAATGTAAAAGCCACCACAGGTGCAAATTAGTTTGTAGACTCCAGGACATAGCATGTCAGGAACTACATCCTTCACAGATGGGATAAGATCACGGATTTTGTGTACTGTATTGAATCAGACCTGGATTTTTACATATTCTAAGGCAAGGGGTGAGTGCTTGTTCACGGACATAATCAGTTGAGGGATTGTGGTTTGGTGAGGCATTATGTTCAGCTGAGTAGGGATTGGTAAAAGGTTAGGAATTAGGGTTTAGGTTAAGCCGAAAAATACCTTGTAGGGGTAGGTTAGAGGTTTAGCAAGCTCGAACGATCATTGTTAGGTAAGGATGGCAATGGCACTTCTTCCTGTCACTAGGCTCGATTCTGATGCGTGCATAATGGACTCCAAATGTGGCACTTGGATAAAGTTTATTATCCTCAACAACAACGGGCCAACGCAAAGTCTCTTGCCTTCCCTCTACCGATCGCCCCCTTCCTCCTCACCCTTTCCAATGATCCTCTCCCTCCTCTCCAATCTCCACGCATCCTTTCCATCTAACCAATCCCTCTGCTCCCATTCTAACCGCTTCAATCGACACCCTTGCCTCTTTCAAATCACCCCCATCCCCGCCATCTCTCTCCCTTTCAAACCTTCCAACCAATGACTATCTAGCAAGCCACGTCATTCCCCCTGAGCGACTCATATCTATCCTCATGCCATATCGCCTTCTAGTGGCTGCTATGGTGTATACGATATCCCCCCATCCCGCCATGTCCGACACAGACGGCGCATCATCCGAAGACGCCCAACATACTTACAACACACGTGGCATTTATACAATGTAGTTGTTTAATGTACATTTATTGCGACCTGTGGTCGATGTTAGTTGTCGTCATATATTTTTGTTGTCTTAGGGGCCCGTCCATAAATGACGTCACGTACCTGGGGGGGGGGGTGGGAGGGGGGATCAGACATTTGTGACGATGTGTGACGAGGGGGGGGGGGTTGAGAAATGTGACGTCACATCAAAATGCGCAAATTTAAATAAATATAGACAACACGTTCTATTTAATTAAATATACTTTTTAATAAATGTTTTCTCCTACAACATGAGAGTGCAGCGCCACATTAAATACGCACTACAATGACAATAGTTTAAAGCGATTTGAGTTCATGTTTTATTTTCAAAATGTAAATATGTTTTTTGGGGGGGGGGGGGGGGGCAGAGCTTTGTGACGTCATATTTGAGGAGGGGTGGGGGGTCTGACTTTTTGTGACGCCTTGTGACGACGAGGTGGCGGCGGGGGGGGGGGTCAAAAATCGTCCCAAATCGCGTGACGTCATTTATGGACGGCCCCTTAGGCGACCTGCAGGCTATCCGTGCGCTGTTCATCTCGGGCATGGCTCTGGGCGTCATCTCGTGCCTCCTCGCCACCCTGGGGCTGCGCTGCACCAGCGTCCTCCCAGCCCGAGCCACCACCAAGTCCCGCGTGGTCTTATGTGGAGGAGCCAGCTTCATCTTCAACGGTACCGCTGATGTAAAGTTTTTTTATTTTGTTTATAACCAGGTGAGGACTCAAAGAGACCAGGATGAGTCTCGTTTGCAAGGGTCACCTGGGGCCGTTAGACTGCCAGGAGGGAGCCACGATTGCTTCTCTGTGTGCGATAGTTCCAAATCCTCCTCTTGTGAATGACGTCTGGGGATCCACACCATCCACTATGAGCCAGACTGTGCGTATTATTATTATTGGTTATTTCACCCACAGTAATAATCAGGACAGTTTCTGAATTTGAACTGTGATCCTCTGGCCGCGTCATCGACGACGGCTCCTAAAGGCCCTTTCTGAGACACTCAACCTGCGAGAATGAGAACCTCGGTTCGAACCCTGGTCTCCAAGACAGTAAAATATCCACACTGAGCCGGTAACTACCAAGAATCTTGTTTTGAGCCCGAGTGCTGGGGCTCTCTGCAGAAGGTCCATAACGGCTAATGCTGAGCCAGCTATAAACCACATCAATAAATCAATTAATTAATTAATCAACAGCTGAGATAGTTATCGTGACTGAGCTCTCATCTGGTTAGAAAGACACGTGGATGAAGAAGGTGTATGTGTGTGTGTCGGAGAGTGCAGGAATCCTGTTCCTGGTCGTATACTCGTGGTACGCACGCCAGATCACGGCCGAGTTCTACAACCCCATGTACCTCGGGCAGAAGTGAGATGCGCACACACGCACAGTGTGTATGTGTGTGTGCGCGTGTCATGATGGTGTGGGGAGCGGCGGCGTAGTGGCCGGCGCATTGCGCTACTAAACCAGAAATTTGAGTTCAATTCCTGGCGACCGTCAACATCAGTGGTGAATATCTGAACTGGTCCTGTGCCTCCCTTCGGTTGACTCAGCGTTAAAACAAGCACCTGATGTCGTGCCTAAATATCAGCCCTGGGAAGCCAAAATGTGGCTAGGTCTGGTATTAGCCCCACCACTCTCTCTTATGCCATACCAGCCTTAATAGGTGATGTATCTTTGTGCGTGTGCGGTTGTGTACCTGTTTGTTGGGCACACACAGGTGAGTGTGTTCACCTGTGCACGTGTTTGCATCCACCTGTAGGGAGTGGTGTTGTGGTGTAGTTCGCACGCTGCGCTACGAACCCGGCGACCCGAGTTCGATTCCCGCTCACGGCCAACACCGGTGATGATTATCTGAACCGGTTTCGGTGCCACCCCTATAGGTCAACTCGGCTTCAAATAAGCACCCGCTGTAAACATGGCCACCCAGGAAGACAAAGCTGGCCGGACGTGGTGCTCGCTAGCAGCACTTGCCTCGACAGTCTGTTACAGCTACGCGTATGAACATCGTCTCCGTGTGTGCACGCCCGTGTGTACACTTACGCTGTGCGTGTAAACAAACACCTGTGTGTAGGTATGAGCTGGGCCCTGCACTCTACATCGGCTGGGCCGGCTCGGCCCTGTGCGTGGTCGGAGGAGGAATTCTCTGCTGCACCAACGTCAAGAAAAGCCAACACCCACGCGGGTACCACAGCCACAAGGGCAACATCCACTGCGGCAGTCGCAATTGCGACCAACTATCACATCCACCACAACAAGCACAACAACGCTGATCATTAATAACCACAGTCATAACAACAACAATAAATATAACAATTGCATCAACCACACATCATAAAACCCACACAGCACAACAACGACAACCAGAACAGACATCACGACGAGCCTCAAAAGCAGCGTTCAACAATTTCACCGTAGAAACGACAATCGCAAGCGCATCTACCACGGCAGCATCCACAGTGACAACCAGTAGTCTTTGTCGTATGTTATTTTAACCAGTTGATAACAGCAATCGCAGTAGTATCCTTGAGGACAACCATCAATAACCACAGGAGTACCCCCCCCCCCCCAGTAAATACAAGGGTTATTTAGCTAGTCAAAAGACCTATGGTAATGATGTAACTTACATCAGTCAAAATGTCATTACTGTAAGGGCAGTCATCGACTTACGAACGTTCGATTTACGAACATCCGCACTTACGAACGAGCTCCCGTAAGACATTAAGACATTCATGTTTTAAAAACCCCCTCGAAGTGCGGACGCGAACTCGCACTTGCGAACCGAACCGTGGAACTGTTTTAATTCCGCGAGATGTAATGAGTGCCAGCATCTCGCTGGGAGCGAGTTTGTGTAAACGTGTGGCACGTGCATGTGCGACCACCCCCTCCATGTATGGGGAGCGGTAGCGCAACGGTTAGCGTTGCTACGCTACCAACCCGGCGACCCGAGTTCGATTCCCACTCACGACCAGCACCGGTGACGATTGTTTGAGCCGTCCCTGGGCCTTCCTTAGGTCGACTCAGCCTCAAATGAGTACCTGGCGCGGTGCGTAAACATCGCCGATGTGGAGTCAAAGGCGGCCGGTGCTGGCCACCCACCCCCTCGTGTGCCGTGCCGGCCTTCACAGGGTGCCACTCGCTAAGAGCACTTGCCCCAACAGGCTGTTAAGGGGATCGTTGTCGTCGTTGTTGTGTGCAGGAACAACAAGAACCTCCACCCCGTGTTCCTGCCGCCCTCCATGGCCCCGGTCTCGGCGAGCGGGGTCCAGAAGCCCCTGATCACCCCCAACGGGGGCAGCCCCCGTCCCAGCCCCCCCGCCGATCTCGACCCCAGCTACGACAAGAACTCATATGTCTGACCCCCCCCCCCCCCCTCAGTGACTCTACCAATAACAAAACTACCACGAGCAAGTGCTACAAACGACAGCTTTCCCTCGCTCTACGCGGGTTCGGTTCGTGCGATTTAACGCACGAACCTATTTGTACCCAAAATTCGCGATATGCGGTTTGAATTCACCCACACGCGGCTATGCGGTCCGACGTGGGACAACATTGTGTGCGTATTATTATTGAGCGTGCTGCTCGGCAGACAGCTGTCTCGTCGTGTGGTGCGTTGTGCGGTTTGCACTGCGCGATTTTTGGAATGCATCTATCCGTGGCAATTGCTAGCACCACTACTGCTACGACTACCATGGCTAATGCTGCTGTGACTACTGCTACTAATCATGACAGCAACTCACGTGTGTGTGACCTCAGTCTCTGTCAATACTGTTGCTACCGGCATTACTACCATTACCGTTGCAATACAACACGACTACTAATACTACCACAGCTTCTGATAATCAAATCACAATTGAGAGCGCTTTGTCAATTCACTACTGGATAAGAACCTCTCTCCATGCCGTGTTGGTCATGAGAGTTGTTTAACCACCTTTCACTGTGTGGGTCAGTGTGGGTGAAATGGGAGACCCAGAAATGGCTCAGATATTGACACTGCGTTGGCGGTGCACTTTAAAGAAATTCTGTAGGAGGTGGATATAAGCACAATTTATTATATAGGCAGAGTTTTTATATCAGCAAAACACATGCTTAAATTAAACTGCAAGGGGGGGGGGGGGGGGTGGGCAAAGGGCAACTACTGATATAAGCACACCACCGCATTTCGGGTATAGGGACACCTGGACTTAGTCCCAAGAAATGTGCTTATATCCACCTTCTACGGTATAAACGTGTGCTCCCAATTGTGAGGTTTTTAACTTATATCGGACAGCCCAGAACCGGCCGCCCACAAAAACACATTTTACTTTTCGTCTCGGTCTTCCTTTAAAGGATGGGAAATTGGATTTGGATTCCAAGTTGGAGTTAAAATCCTGGCATTAAAGAGCAGTAGACATGACCCAATGTTGATTTGAAGCTTTCCCGAGTGCAGGAATCCATACGCTTCGGTTCTTTCGGTAAAGTCACGGAGGTAGAGAATAATAGATCACGTGACGTTTAGATCGCAACACAAGCGATCGTGTATCGGGTGAGACAATTACAGCAGGAAAACTGCTGAAGCAGGCGTGAAAGCCGCCGTGACGAGAGGTTATATAGGTCTGAGCTGGGAGCAACCCAAGGGTTTGGATTCCAAGTTGGAGTTAAAATCCTGGCTGGGCTCGAGATGGAAGAAAGAGGGGGGCAAGGCTCTCCGGCCGCCACTGATCTTTCTGCCCTCCCCCCCTCTCTCTCTTCCATCTCTCGCCCCGCCCTCGTACCCTACCTATATAACCTCTTGTTACGGAAGCCCCCCCGCCTGCTTCAGCAGTTTCCCTGCTGTGGTTGTGATACCCGATGAGCATCGCTTGTGTTGCGATGGAAACGTCACGTGATCTATTATTTTCTACCTACGTGACTTTACCGAAATAATCAGAGTGTGACCCAATGCTTTGAGTAATAATTGCCTTTTAAATTTTGTCATTGAACTCTTGGTCACACGCTTACACGGGAATTCGACTGATACTTTGTGAGCGTTACATTTTTTTTTTATGAATTGTAAATTTAACGTGATTGTTGTTTGTGTGTGTTAGGGGAGCGGGGGGTGTCAGTGATAACAGATGTGAAGGGATGCAAACCTCAAGACTAATTGGAAGAACACATCCAATATTTTGACGATATATTTTTTGCAATATAACTGTCATGTCCGAGCCACCAAGCCGATTTCAGCAAACAAATGCCTCCCCCCTCCCCCAAATTATGAATTCCCTTCGCAAACAATATTCGAGAAAATTTTCCTGAACCAATATTCGTGAATATTAATTCCCCATCCATATAGCAGTTACTCCCTTCCGTGTTTTGTAACAAATTAACAATTGTATGCAAATCTATATCAAAGCTTTTTCAACTAAAATTTTTGTTCAGGAAAGTGTTACTTCTTTGTCATTACGAACTAACTTTGTCCAAATCAATGTATCAGCCTTACCCTAATCAATGTCACTCTTGCAAATTAGACTCTGTTCTGGTCTCTTTAAGTTCTCCCCTGATGACAGAAAGTAAACTTGAAATCAGAGTGGCAAGAGACTGACGATTTCGTTTCAGAATGCAATTCCATATCGGATTGTGCGACCATACTTCACCACACTGGTCAGTGCGGGCTGGCGGGGATACTCACGTGACTACGTACCCCAGCCACTCGAGGTCACATGGCATAGGTCCGATAAAATAATGGGCAATCATATAAAAGCACTCGAAACAACATGGCTTCATATTAAGTTCTAAAGCTAAAATCTTTGCTCTGGCCACCACTAATGTTCGCTAAAACTTTGTTTCAGTTGATGGCCTTATGTTTGGATTATGAACAACCTCAGTGATGTCTTTGTAGGCAATCTATTATCATTGTTGTCTATGTACGGGGGGGGGGGTGTCTGGTAGTCCCTCTCATACTTTTTTCTATCATGGGTGAGGAACCTGTGGACCAGACCGTCCGAACAGGGCCCTGTAATTTCTAGATTCGAAGCTTTCGTGACTGCAAGGATCCATACTCTTTGGTTCTATTCGGTAAAGTCACGTAGGTAAAAAAAGTTAAAACAACAAAAATCACGACGTTTCGGCCACAACACAAGCGACCTTCATCAGGTGAAGGGACCAACCTGTCTAGCGGACAGCGTTGGAGTGAAGAAAGCCAAGGGAGGCGACCAGCGCTTGGCTTTCTTCACTCCAACCTGGACGTATCCATCGCTGCGAGGATCTTAGCCGTGCTCGTCGGATTTACTGGAGCGGGGGTACTTTTCAAGCTGGCACAAGACTGGGATTTGTAATGTTAACGGTCACTTCTGTCACACTGCACGGGTCCTCCCCAAGTTCATGATGGTCACGCGGGGCTCATGGAGTCCGTGTGAACATCATCACTCGATTTGGAAGTTGACCATCGTAAGCCAACGTTGCCGTGGGAATCCGAGAACTGCCTTGATGGCGAGAGAGGGGACTATGGTGTGTGATGGTGAGACAAGGGACTATGGTGTGTGATGGTGAGAGAGGACTATGGTGTTTGATGGTGAGAGAGGGGACTATGGTGTGTGTGATGGTGAGAGAGGGGACTATGGTGTGTGTGATGGTGAGAGAGGGGACTATGGTGAGTGATGGTGAGAGAGAGGACTATGGTGTGTGTGATGGTGAGAGAGGGTACTATGGTGTGTGATGGTGAGACAAGGGACTATGGTGAGTGATGGTGAGAGAGGGGACTATGGTGAGTGATGGTGAGACAGGGGACTATGGTGTGTGATGGTGAGAGAGGGACTATGGTGTGTGTGATGGTGAGACAATGGACTATGGTGTGTGATGGTGAGAGAGGGGACTATGGTGTGTGATGGTGAGAGAAGGGACTATGGTGTGTGATGGGGAGAGAAGGGACTATGGTGTGTGTGATGGTGAGACAATGGACTATGGTGTGTGATGGTGAGAGAGGGGACTATGGTGTGTGATGGTGAGAGAGGGACTATGGTGAGTGATGGTGAGAGAGGGGACTATGGTGTGTGATGGTGAGACAAGGGACTATGGTGAGTGATGGTGAGAGAAGGGACTATGGTGTGTGATGGTGAGACAAGGGACTATGGTGTGTGATGGTGAGAGAGGTACTATGGTGTGTGATGGTGAGACAATGGACTATGGTGTGTGATGGTGAGAGAGGGGACTATGGTGTGTGATGGTGAGAGAAGGGACTATGGTGTGTGATGGTGAGACAAGGGACTATGGTGTGTGATGGTGACAGAAGGGACTATGGTGTTTGATGGTGAGACAAGGGACTATGGTGTATGATGGTGAGAGAAGAGACTATGGTGTTTAATGGTGAGAGAGGGGACTATGGTGTGTGATGGTGAGACAAGTGACTATGCTGTGTGTGATGGTGAGTGAGGGGACTATGGTGTGTGATGGTGAGAGAAGGGACTATGGTGTGTGATGGTGAGAGAGGGGACTATGGTGTGTCTATATGTGCCAGAAGTTTTTTAAAGCCCCCTAGTTCGGCCCTCAGTAATGGAAACAGGTTGCCACCCTTGCTTTATACATCTTTTAAATGTGCAGGGAATTGCGTAATTAATGTGATTTATGAATGTACAATTATTATTGTTAGCTTCATTATTAAAGCCTTTTATGTTACATATTTGTTTGTTAATTTGTACATTACATGTAATAAGAATAAATCAAAGTGATGTCACTACCGTTTTTTTTATTTAAATCGTTAGGCGCGAGACCTCGACTCACAACCAGAAGTCCCTGGCTCAGTATGTCATCACAATGATTAACCCTGCATAATATTTAAAAAAATTTAAGAACACGCTTTAATGAAATGTACCCTACTAGTAATGTAAGAACTCCACGACTCCAGGAAGTGGCCCCGAAGCTTGCCACAACGTAAGGGGACCGTGGGCCAATTACAGCCAACGTCAGTTTACCGTGGACAATTAGACCCAAGCCGAAACATAACATACACAAAAGATTGTTTTAAAATATATGTTTTTATTTGTTATGATAGAATATAGTATTGTCATCAGTATGACATAAGTATACCAAGTTTGCAGTCGATACCACATTGGGAAGTGGGTAAAAATTGAGTTGCAAGATTTGAGGATGCAACAACGACAACAGAGTTAAATAAAAGCGCGTAATAATAAAACGTGTTAAAATATTCACGACTGTGGGAAGCCGCATTAGCTATTCAAACTGAAAATTGTCTCATCTTTCCAATCTGAACTCAATTGCACGCGCCGCTGACTCGTCGACCGAGATCTATCCACTGCTCGATGGAAGGCCTCCCCGATACATCGCCATCTCTCACGAGTTGTCGCGCGATGCAACAAAGATCCCATCGTGCTCGGGTCGCACGGGCCGCCATCTGCCGGGGTGAATGTCATCTCGGCCACGTGCCATCCTCCTCTTGACCGCCACCAAATTAGGGGTCACGAACGCCGGGCCATGAGCCCCTTCTAGCCGTGACGCCTTCCCTCCCAAGCCCACAAACTCGATGTCTCTTAAATTGGGCGTCTTCTAAGATCCACGTGTTCGCTTTCTTGCATTGTGTAACAGTCAGAATCATAATCTACCTTATCAGTGCCCTAGCTTATTACAGACCAATTCAGGCCTTACTGGTCATCCCGTGACCATTATAAATCTCAACGTTCATCCTACAAAGTCCCATCACAAGGGAGAAAAAAACCCCCAGATACATCATTTTTGTGCCCGTATTGAAACGGCTGTACGCCGTATGGACCTGAAAACTCAATTTCCCTACACAAGAATACGGGGTAAACCGTGTGGGTTAACACGGTATGGGGCCGTCCATAAATGACGTCACGCACCTGGGGGGGGGGGGTCAGACATTTGTGGCGATGTGTGACGAGGGGGGCGGGGTTTGAGAAATGTGACGTCACGTCAAAATGCGGAACTTTAAATAAATATAGACAACACGTTCTACTTAATTTTTGATTTAAAGCTTTCGTGACTGCAGGGATTCATATTCTTGGTTCTTTCGGTAAAGTCACGTAGAAGGGAAACAATAAAATAATATATTGTTTTATATATATTTTTCTATTTTATTGTTTCCCTTCTACGTGACTTTACCGAAAGAACCAAGAACACATTCTACTTCAATTTCGATTTAAAGCTTTCGTGACTGCAGGGATTCATCTTCTGGGTTCTTTCGGTAACGTCACGTAGAATGGAGATAAAATAATAAAAATAATAACAGAATAAAATTCTCACGACGTTTCGGCCGCAACACAAGTAGCCTTCCTTTTTAATAAATGTCTTCTCCTACAACATCAGAGTGCAGCGCCACATTAAACACGCACTACAATGACAATAGTTTAAAGCGATTTGAAGCATGTTTTATTTTTGGGGGGGGGGGAGGGCAGAGCTTTGTGACGTCATATTGACGATGGGGGGGGGGGGTCAAAAAAGGCCCAAAATCGCGTGACGTCATTTATGGACGGCCCCTATAGCGTCTGGAGGATTCCGATGGGCTCCAAAGCTCTTGTTCACGGATGGCAAGCAGCGGCGGGTCAGAACGTTCCAATAACAACACAATCACGGAAACATTGAAACACGTCGTCGGAAGGCTTTCGCGGCCAATACCATCCATTATTGTTGGGGATTAGATCGCGTAAATATAACACGTGTGTCGTTAAAACCCGCCACCACACCGACACAGCAGCGCAACGTTAACGAAACGTGGACAATTCGTTACTCGAGTCAAGCGGTTCAATGGTTTGCGTGTTAAATTTCGATTTAAAGCTTTCGTGACTGCAAGGATTCATCTTCTTTGGTTCTTTCGGTAAAGTCACCGCCACGTAGAATGAGAATAAAATAATAAATTAATAAAATAACACAATAAAATTCTCACGACGTTTCGGCCACAACACAAGCGGCCTTCATCAGGTGAAGGGACGATACTGTCTCGCTCCAGCGCTGTCTTCGAGACAGTCTCGTCCCTTCACCTGATGAAGGCCGCTTGTGTTGTGGCCGAAACGTCGTGAGAATTTTATTGTCTTATTGTATTATTTTGTTCCCATTCTACGTGGCTTTACCGAGAGAACCAAAGAAGATGAATCCTTGCAGTCACGAAAGCTTTAAATCGAGATCGGTACAATAATAAGTCGGTACAAATAAAGTTCCGGAGTTGCGTTTTTCCGTCGGGACATTTATTTATTATTCTGTTGTTGCGGGAGCGGAGCCGGACGTGACGTCGGTACAGGAGCCGGAAGTTCACCGGGTCAACATGGCAGCCGTGTTGAGGGGCGCGTGTGTGGCGTGTCCTTCACTCTCACGGTGACTCCTTCACTCATTCACTCAGTCAGTCATTCACTCAGTCAGTCACTCAGTTACTCATTCACTCAGTCACTCATTTACTCATTCACCCAGTCAGTCACTCAGTTACTCATTCACCCAGTCAGTCATTCAGTAGTCACTCGCTCATCCAGTCACTTATTCACTCAGTCATTCACTCACTCGTACACCCGCCTACTCGTCCACCGATTCACTGAGTCGCTCGCCAAATCACCGAGTCAATTGCTTTCGTCACTCGCCCAGTGTTTCGCTCACGGCTGTCGGCACTCGCTGCTGCCAATTCACTACCTCAATGCAATTCACTACCTCAATGCAATTCACTACCTCAATTCAATTAATTACCTCAGTTCAATTCACCACCTCAGTTAAATTAAACCTCAGTTCAATTCACTACCTCAGTTCAATTCACTACCTCAGTTAAATTAAACCTCAGTTGAATTCACTACCTCAATTAAATTCACTACCTCTGTTTAATTCACTACCTCAGTTCAATTCACTATCTCAGTCACATATTCGCTCAGTAATTCATTCACGCAATTGCGCATTCGCTGATTCAATCTCTCGGTCTTTTATGTAGTCGCTCAGTTATTGAATCCGTCGGTCACTCGCTCGCTCAGTGATTCGCTCTGCTACTCGTTCGATATTGGAAAAAAGTGGAAACGCCTCGACGCAAGATCGAGTTGTTTGACTTGCTGAGCTATGCCGTCCATGCCAAACGCAGACGTCGCTACATACGTTCGAAAAACATTACCGATGCCAGTCGCTTACATTCAACGAAACGCTAAAACTAGCATAAGAATAGTATCCGCGTGCTTGACGAGCTTAATAAACATGGGGAGTTTCGTAAAAAATATATACGAATGCTGTGAATCGTCCTACAACCAATCGGTAACCCCGAGCATTCATATCACCAACCCTATCCAACCTCGTCATTCTCCTGCTACTCCCGCATTCACTATCCAAGTTGTTCACCGAATCATTTACAGATGCACGTTCTTAAATTGTGTTGCAATGATACGAATCATTCTGATAGCATATTTTGTCACGATTGCGCCAAGTTAATCCCAATAATCTCACCGTTTAAACTCAAGGTTTGGCATCGCCTGTTTGGACAATACTTTAAAATGAATACAGTGCAAGCGTTTGAAATGTAATGGTTTTCGAAAGTTACTTTGAATGGACAGCATAGAGCAATTTGTAGGGAGCATCGTGGTCACCCAATCAATACAGAAAGCATAATTGCTTGCTGCCATTAAAGAAAACTGCCGTTTTCCGGGCAAAATATCAAAACAAAATCTACAAGACCGCACAGGAAGGACCAGAGAAAGGGGCATCCAAGGAAGATTTGGATTCAGAACATTGCAGACTGGTCGGACTTAAACCACAACCAGTCAGGGTGCATTGAAATCACGATCATTCCCAAAACGGTGGCTCAGCGATGTACTCTTCAAATTGGGCAAGAGTGATGGATGGATTCTATTGAAGTGGGGCTGATTTTGTAAATGTAATGTTTTGGTCAGATATAATTGTTTTGTGTTGAATAATTATGTAATCGGTGGCCGGTTGTGACACTTCATACAAGATGCACAGCACTGCTGTCCTCGGCTATCCTGAAGTAAAAAAAATACCTTTCGTTATCTGCTCACCAACACTCAAGACTCATCACTCACCAAAGTTATTTATCACTCGCCAACCCTCGCCAATATTATTTACTAACACTGGTCATTCACCACTTTTAATATTCCTGGTATGTACCATTTTATTTTGTATATCCATTTGTGTGCACACATTCACAAACATGTAACACCAACCTAAACTATATTGTAAATATAAGCTCCCAATGTAATGGTAATTTACACACAAAACATCCACATATATGCAACTCTCAAACAACTACGTAAGTGTGTACACACATAAATGCCTACACAATGGTCCAACTATACACATGTAAACACGCACACATCCAAAATACAAAGATCCCCCTATAGCCTTAACAGACTTTTGGGGAAAGTGCTGTTAGCGAGCACCTATGAAGGCCAGCACGGTACATGAGGGGGTGGGTAGCCAGCACCAAGCCGGACCGCCTTTGTCTCCCTAGTGGCGATGTTTACACACCGCAACGGGTACTCATTTGAGGCTGAGTCGACCTAGGGGAGGCCCAGGACCGGTTCAAATAATTTTCACTGGTGTTGGCCGCGAGCGGGAATCGAACTCAGGTCGCCGAGTTCATAGCGAAACCCGCTAACCACTACGTCACCGCTCCCCATGCACCCACACATATATACCCACATACATATACTGCACACATGAAAACAGCCGTCATTTTCCACCAAGTGACAGCAACATCGCGTTCGTTCCAAGCTAGGTGTCCATTGAGGCCATGTAAAATGTTGAAGGCTCGCTGGCATGTCACAGGACGGATGCAGGTATTATGGGTTCAGCCGACTGAGATTACTATTAAATGCACCACCAATGCACCTCAATGGCAAAGTTGCCAGACACAACCACACACCCCTTCACGATGTCCCTTCTCTCCCCAGGTGCCTGGTGCCATGGCAGACTACGTGCCGTGGCTTCCGCCGTGTGGCCAAGGACGGGAGTCTTGTGCCCCCCCCTGCACGCAATGGTTTGCTCCGTCCAGCCGAGTCCATCCCGGGCGGAGGGCGAGGTTCTGCCGTTTCCCTCGTGCGTCCCCTGTTCTTCACCATTGGAGTAAGGCATTCATCCCCATGGCATTCATCCGTCAACAGCGCCTCACTAGGCACGTTGAGGAGAAGCCTTGCGGATCTGTAACGTGGTTTTAGGCCGGTGGCGGTCTTGGATGGATGTAATATTTTCTGTGTGGTGTACACGTATGTGCGTGTGTGGGGAGCGGTAGTGTTGCGTTTAGTGCGTTGTGCTAGAAACCTGGCGACCCGGGTTCGATTCTCACTCAAGGCCAACACCAGTGACGATTACCTGAACCGGTCCTGGAACTCACCTAGGTCGACTCAGCCTCAAATTAGTATCTGGTGTGATATTCCAACATCGCAACTAGGGAGACAAAGGCGGCCGGGCGTGGTGCTGGCTACCCACCCCCTCGTGTGCTGTGCCGCCCTTCATAGATGCCCGCTAACAGCGCTTGCCCCAACAGTCTGTTACAGGTTAATCGCGGGATCTTTGTCTTTTTGTCTGCACATGAATGCACACATCCCTGCGTCAACCCCTGCATTCCATGCGTATATGTTCGTGTGTGTGTGTGTCACGCATCCCTATGTATCCGTACCTGTGTGCAGTTCTCGGGCTGTGCATTTGCGACTGCCTCTATCGTGCAATACGAGGTGGTAAAACACCGCGTGAACAACTACCTGAGTGACGCGCGCGGTGCCTGGATGGAACGCACACGGCCCAAAAAGAGTGGGGACATCCGCAAACAGGTGGGGACAGATACGTACGTGGGGAGGGAGATAAATTAGCAGGAAAGATACACGTGGAGATAATTACATGGGGAGGGAGATATATATACAGAGAGCGATACAGGGGGGAAAGGATACAGGCTGAATGAAGATCATAGGTTCCCATGGAGAGACATGGACAGAAAGTTATGCACAGGGTGAAGAGAGATGGGAAGACAGAGGCAGTAAGAGACACAGGGAGACACCATCGTGAGATGGCACACACGATGACATCATTCGGGCAGGCGAGTGCATAACATGTGATATCATCGCATCGGCCGGCAAGGTAAGTGTTTTTAGCGCTGGATTTTGTTTACAATTTGACCAGTTTAAAAAAAGAGTAAAATAACTTTTATTCTTTAATTCGTTAAGATCATCTTTATGAGTTGTAATTGGCAGACCCAGAGAGAGAATCTGTTCATACGTTCAACTTTGTTGAAAAGCGTTAAACAGACAAGAGAGAGGAGCAAAAGGAGAACAAAACAATAAACATGAAGAGGGAGAGAGAGGCTTGGCGAGGTCTCAGTGTGTCCCATGTTTTGTCATCTCCTCTGCACCCTCAGATCAACCAGTGGTGGAACTCGCTGTCTGAGGGCGGCAGGACTGTCGCCGGTGAGTCCTTGTCTGCTCAGCTCACCGCACTGCACCGCGGTGCCCGTCACCCGGGCTCAATTCCTGGCCACGTGCAGTGGCAGAGGCAGTGGCTCACTTTCCAAACCGTGCTGTGGGCCACACCCAGGTTGACTCAGCCTAAAAAGACATGTTGGTGCAATGGTGTGTGAGTGTGTGTGGTGGTGCTGGAACCATCATTATCCGTCATGTGCTTTGCTGGCAATAAAAAGTGTTGCCTACTGTGTAGGCCAGAGGTCTAAACTTGACTTTAACTAAACTTATTTTTTTTTACCAGGTAAGACTCGCTGAGCTGTACAGCTCTTTTTCAGAAGCGACTTGGCCACAAATGGTAACTCAACGTGGTGGCTTATCAGGTGGAAATTTATAGCAGCCAATTATACACTAAAAACACGTGTTTCTAAACACATGTTTCTAAACACGTTTCTAAAAGCGTGTTTCTAAACGTGGAGGGAAAAGCCGGAGGAACCGGAGAAAAAATCCATGTGACCACGGGGAGAGAGAGAGACATTCATAATAAAGGTTTTTGGGTTAGATCGCGTTATTTATAAATGTGTCGTAACCCTCCACCATCCGACACGGCCAAACAGTAAAAAATGTGTCACGTTTACAAAGGACAAATAGTTCACTACTTTAGCCCACGGGTGTGTTGAAGAGTGAATCAACATAATTTAAAATTTGAGTACGACGTTTTGCTGGTAATTACATCCAGCATCATCGGGCAATTCGCCAGAATGGTAAAGCCCTCACTTGCTCCCGGTCTTAAATAGAAGAGCAGGGTGACGTCATCATTTAACTCATTCATTTATAACTAACGCGATCTAACCCAAAAACCTTTATTATGAATAATATTGGTCGCGAAAGCCTACGTGTTGAATTGAGAGAGAGACACGCAAACTCCAAAAATACAGGCGTCAGCGTCGGGATCGAACCCACGCACTGCTGTATACCAGGTTAGGAAGTTAACGTCTCGCCAACGCGGCACCCACGCATACAGGCGGAGACACACTTGAACATGCATACGTAGATGTTCGCGAAAGCACAGGTGTGCATATTGTTGAAATGTATAGCAGTCAAATACTTTCAACGCATGTTTCTAAGTCTCTCGGGAAGGCTCTTAGAAGTAGCTCTGATAGCGCTAAACGTTGCACTGCATTGCAAGCATTCAAAAACAATATTTGTAATCTTACGCCATGAAGCCGATTGCAGCTTGTACAAACCCCTCGGCAGGCCTGTGCGCGTGCGTTTGTCCTGTAGAATGTGTACTTACAACCATTGGCCAATTTGCGTGTGCTTGCAGGCATCATCGCGATCAACGTGCTGGTGTTTGGGATGTGGCGGGTGCCGGCGCTGCAGTCGAGTATGATGCGTTTCTTCATGTCCAACCCTGCCGCAAGTAGGTGTGTGCACGCGCGCGTGTGTGTACGTGCCACCACGTGTGCGCGTGTGTGTGTACGTGCCACCACGTGTGCGCGTGTGTGTGTACGTGCCACCACGGAGTGCGCGTGCGTGTGTTCACGTGCTTATGTGTCCGTCGCATACGCGTGTTTCACGTGCTGGCTGGCATTTGTGAGTGTAGGTCGTGTGTTTATTACGTGTGTAGAATGTGTGGATATGGGTGTTAGGAATGAGTTTTGGATTAACATTTTTTTGAATGTTGGATATTTGGATGTTTCAGGTCAATTGAGGTTTTTGTCATGTTTTCAGATTTACATTGAATACACGTTAATAAATAACATTAACTGTTTATGCACAATATTTGATCATTTTTTATGTTTTGTTAAACTAATCTTATAATTTTTATATTAAGGTCCAACAGTAATACAAAAATATTAATGTGAAACATTTTACTATATAATTAACCAAATATATTCTTTGGTTCTTTTAGTAAAGTCACGTAGATAGAAAATAATGATAAAAAATAAAGTGAATAAAAATGTAAATAATAAAAAAACACACAAATGTAGACTGTACTTCTTCCTGTGACTATCCCACCTGATGACGGAGGCTTGTGTTGCTTCCGAAACGTCGTGAGTTTATGAACTTAATTTTATTTTTTACCTGCGTGACTTTACCGGAAGAACCAAAGAGTATGGATCATTGCAGTCACGAAAACTTCAAATCTAGAATGTAGCCTGGTTCTTAATCAGAGTGAGTGTACTGGCAGTCTATAATGTAGACTGTAGCCTGGCTTTTAAGCTGGTGAGCATATTGGAAATCTATAATGTAGACTGTAGCAATGGTTATTAAACTGAGTGAGCGTATTGGCAATCTATAATGTAGACTGTAGCCTGGTTCTTAACCTGAGTGAGCGTACTCGCAGTCTATAATGTAGACTTATTCTTGGTTCTTTCGGTAATAGAAATAAAATAAAAATGTTTAAATAAAAACAAAAACCACAATGTTTCCATCGCAACACAAGCGGTCGTCATCAGGAAATATGATTGATCTCATGGCACTTTTGGATTTAAAGGTACTGATTTCATGTCATTAACATGACATCACTTCCGGTTAGGTCATGTTTTGAGATCAATACAATTAAACTCTTATTTACTGATATATCATATCCAGGCCCGATGTTTGGATGTTTATGATTAATCCAAAAATTGGGAACACATCCCTTAGTCGGTGTGTGTATATATTATAGGTGATTATAGATTATAGGTGATTATAGATAATAGGTTCTATGTCACAGCTGCTCGCAAATCAGCGCTTGCCTCAATAGTCTGTGCAAAGCTATTATGGGGGGGATCTTTGTGCATTGGATACATTTTTATTTACGAGTGCATTCTTCTCTAACATATTCAGAACCTTTATTTACACTGGAGGAATCCAATGAGCTATCACGCTCTTTTTCACAGATGTCCAGTAGGGGTGGGTCAGACAGTTACAACAACAAACAATACAAAAACACGAGAAAGGATTGCAAAGTATAGGCAAGGTAAGTAAATCACAATTTGTTTTATTTTACCAGATAAGGCCCACTGAGCTTATTAGCATCTTTTTTAGAAGTGCCCTGGCCACAAATGATAGCTCAACAAAGTGGCTTATCACGTGGAAATTTATAGCATCCAACTACTCTAAACGGCCGTTTCAGGGTTGTGTATGCACACGTGGTATGAATCACATGCATGTGTAAACAGGTGTGTTTATGCATCGCGCTGTGTATCCGTATCGGTTGATCTGTGTATGCAGAGGCCCCGTGCCTGCCCATGATCCTGTCGTGCTTCAGCCACTACTCACCCATGCACCTGGCGGCCAACATGTACGTGCTGTGGAGCTTCTCCCACAGCGCCGTCTCCATGTTCGGTCGCGAGCAGTTCCTCGCATTCTACACATCCGCAGGCGCGTTCGCCCGCACGCACGCCCACCTACTCGATCACTCACCCACTCGTTCGCCCGCACGCACGCCCACCTACTCGATCACTCACCCACTCGTTCGCCCGCACGCACGCCCACCTACTCGATCACACACCCACTCGTTCGCCCGCATGCACGCCCACCTACTCGATCACTCACCCACTCGTTCGCCCGCACGCACGCCCACCTACTCGATCACACACCCACTCGTTCGCCCGCACGCACGCCCACCTACTCGATCACACACCCCCTCGTTCGCCCGCACGCACGCCCACCTACTCGATCACACACCCACTCGTTCGCCCGCACGCACGCCCACCTACTCGATCACTCACCCACTCGTTCGCCCGCACGCACGCCCACCTACTCGATCACTCACCCACTCGTTCGCCCGCACGCACGCCCACCTACTCGATCACTCACCCACTCGTTCGCCCGCACGCACGCCCACCTACTCGATCACTCACCCACTCGTTCGCCCGCACGCACGCCCACCTACTCGATCACTCACCCACTCGTTCGCCCGCACGCACGCCCACCTACTCGATCACTCACCCACTCGTTCGCCCGCACGCACGCCCACCTACTCGATCACTCACCCACTCGTTCGCCCGCACGCACGCCCACCTACTCGATCACTCACCCACTCGTTCGCCCGCACGCACGCCCACCTACTCGATCACTCACCCACTCGTTCGCCCGCACGCACGCCCACCTACTCGATCACTCACCCACTCGTTCGCCCGCACGCACGCCCACCTACTCGATCACTCACCCACTCGTTCGCCCGCACGCACGCCCACCTACTCGATCACTCACCCACTCGTTCGCCCGCACGCACGCCCACCTACTCGATCACTCACCCACTCGTTCGCCCGCACGCACGCCCACCTACTCGATCACTCACCCACTCGTTCGCCCGCACGCACGCCCACCTACTCGATCACTCACCCACTCGTTCGCCCGCACTGCACGCCCACCTACTCGATCACTCACCCACTCGTTCGCCCGCACTGCACGCCCACCTACTCGATCACACACCCACTCGTTCGCCCGCACGCACGCCCACCTACTCGATCACACACCCACTCGTTCGCCCGCACGCACGCCCACCTACTCGATCACTCACCCACTCGTTCGCCCGCACGCACGCCCACCTACTCGATCACTACACCCACTCGTTCGCCCGCACGCACGCCCACCTACTCGATCACACACCCACTCGTTCGCCCGCACGCACGCCCACCTACTCGATCACACACCCACTCGTTCGCCCGCACGCACGCCCACCTACTCGATCACTCACCCACTCGTTCGCCCGCACGCACGCCCACCTACTCGATCACTCACCCACTCGTTCGCCCGCACGCACGCCCACCTACTCGATCACACACCCACTCGTTCGCCCGCACGCACGCCCACCTACTCGATCACACACCCACTCGTTCGCCCGCACGCACGCCCACCTACTCGATCACATCACCCACTCGTTCGCCCGCACGCACGCCCACCTACTCGATCACACACCCACTCGTTCGCCCGCACGCACGCCCACCTACTCGATCACACACCCACTCGTTCGCCCGCACGCACGCCCACCTACTCGATCACACACCCACTCGTTCGCCCGCACTGCACGCCCACCTACTCGATCACTCACCCCACTCGTTCGCCCGCACGCACGCCCACCTACTCGATCACACACCCACTCGTTCGCCCGCACGCACGCCCACCTACTCGATCACACACCCACTCGTTCGCCCGCACTGCACGCCCACCTACTCGATCACTCACCCACTCGTTCGCCCGCACTGCACGCCCACCTACTCGATCACACACCCACTCGTTCGCCCGCACGCACGCCCACCTACTCGATCACACACCCACTCGTTCGCCCGCACGCACGCCCACCTACTCGATCACACACCCACTCGTTCGCCCGCACGCACGCCCACCTACTCGATCACACACCCACTCGTTCGCCCGCACGCACGCCCACCTACTCGATCACACACCCACTCGTTCGCCCGCACGCACGCCCACCTACTCGATCACTCACCCACTCGTTCGCCCGCACGCACGCCCACCTACTCGATCACTCACCCACTCGTTCGCCCGCACGCACGCCCACCTACTCGATCACTCACCCACTCGTTCGCCCGCACGCACGCCCACCTACTCGATCACACACCCACTCGTTCGCCCGCACGCACGCCCACCTACTCGATCACACACCCACTCGTTCGCCCGCACGCACGCCCACCTACTCGATCACTCACCCACTCGTTCGCCCGCACGCACGCCCACCTACTCGATCACACACCCACTCGTTCGCCCGCACGCACGCCCACCTACTCGATCACACACCCACTCGTTCGCCCGCACGCACGCCCACCTACTCGATCACACACCCACTCGTTCGCCCGCACGCACGCCCACCTACTCGATCACTCACCCACTCGTTCGCCCGCACGCACGCCCACCTACTCGATCACATCACCCACTCGTTCGCCCGCACGCACGCCCACCTACTCGATCACACACCCACTCGTTCGCCCGCACGCACGCCCACCTACTCGATCACTCGCCCACTCGTTCGCCCGCACGCACGCCCACCTACTCGATCACTCACCCACTCGTTCGCCCGCACGCACGCCCACCTACTCGATCACACACCCACTCGTTCGCCCGCACGCACGCCCACCTACTCGATCACACACCCACTCGTTCGCCCGCACGCACGCCCACCTACTCGATCACACACCCACTCGTTCGCCCGCACGCACGCCCACCTACTCGATCACTCACCCACTCGTTCGCCCGCACGCACGCCCACCTACTCGATCACACACCCACTCGTTCGCCCGCACGCACGCCCACCTACTCGATCACACACCCACTCGTTCGCCCGCATGCACGCCCACCTACTCGATCACTCACCCACTCGTTCGCCCGCATGCACGCCCACCTACTCGATCACACACCCACTCGTTCGCCCGCACGCACGCCCACCTACTCGATCACACACCCACTCGTTCGCCCGCACGCACGCCCACCTACTCGATCACACACCCACTCGTTCGCCCGCACGCACGCCCACCTACTCGATCACACACCCACTCGTTCGCCCGCACGCACGCCCACCTACTCGATCACACACCCACTCGTTCGCCCGCACGCACGCCCACCTACTCGATCACTCACCCACTCGTTCGCCCGCACGCACGCCCACCTACTCGATCACTCACCCACTCGTTCGCCCGCACGCACGCCCACCTACTCGATCACTCACCCACTCGTTCGCCCGCACGCACGCCCACCTACTCGATCACACACCCACTCGTTCGCCCGCACGCACGCCCACCTACTCGATCACACACCCACTCGTTCGCCCGCACGCACGCCCACCTACTCGATCACACACCCACTCGTTCGCCCGCACGCACGCCCACCTACTCGATCACACACCCACTCGTTCGCCCGCACGCACGCCCACCTACTCGATCACACACCCACTCGTTCGCCCGCACGCACGCCCACCTACTCGATCACACACCCACTCGTTCGCCCGCACGCACGCCCACCTACTCGATCACACACCCACTCGTTCGCCCGCATGCACGCCCACCTACTCGATCACACACCCACTCGTTCGCCCGCACGCACGCCCACCTACTCGATCACTCACCCACTCGTTCGCCCGCACGCACGCCCACCTACTCGATCACACACCCACTCGTTCGCCCGCACGCACGCCCACCTACTCGATCACTCACCCACTCGTTCGCCCGCATGCACGCCCACCTACTCGATCACACACCCACTCGTTCGCCCGCACGCACGCCCACCTACTCGATCACTCACCCACTCGTTCGCCCGCATGCACGCCCACCTACTCGATCACACACCCACTCGTTCGCCCGCACGCACGCCCACCTACTCGATCACTCACCCACTCGTTCGCCCGCATGCACGCCCACCTACTCGATCACACACCCACTCGTTCGCCCGCACTGCACGCCCACCTACTCGATCACACACCCACTCGTTCGCCCGCACGCACGCCCACCTACTCGATCACACACCCACTCGTTCGCCCGCACGCACGCCCACCTACTCGATCACACACCCACTCGTTCGCCCGCACGCACGCCCACCTACTCGATCACACACCCACTCGTTCGCCCGCACGCACGCCCACCTACTCGATCACACACCCACTCGTTCGCCCGCATGCACGCCCACCTACTCGATCACTCACCCACTCGTTCGCCCGCATGCACGCCCACCTACTCGATCACACACCCACTCGTTCGCCCGCATGCACGCCCACCTACTCGATCACACACCCACTCGTTCGCCCGCAAGCACGCCCACCTACTCGATCACTCACCCACTCGTTCGCCCGCATGCACGCCCACCTACTCGATCACTCACCCACTCGTTCGCCCGCACGCACGCCCACCTACTCGATCACTCACCCACTCGTTCGCCCGCATGCACGCCCACCTACTCGATCACACACCCACTCGTTCGCCCGCATGCACGCCCACCTACTCGATCACACACCCACTCGTTCGCCCGCATGCACGCCCACCTACTCGATCACTCACCCACTCGTTCGCCCGCATGCACGCCCACCTACTCGATCACTCACCCACTCGTTCGCCCGCATGCACGCCCACCTACTCGATCACTCACCCACTCGTTCGCCCGCATGCACGCCCACCTACTCGATCACTCACCCACTCGTTTCGCCCGCATGCACGCCCACCTACTCGATCACTCACCCACTCGTTCGCCCGCACGCACGCCCACCTACTCGATCACACACCCACTCGTTCGCCCGCATGCACGCCCACCTACTCGATCACACACCCACTCGTTCGCCCGCACGCACGCCCACCTACTCGATCACTCACCCACTCGTTCGCCCGCACGCACGCCCACCTACTCGATCACACACCCACTCGTTCGCCCGCATGCACGCCCACCTACTCGATCACACACCCACGCGTTCGCCCGCATGCACGCCCACCTACTCGATCACTCACCCCACTCGTTCGCCCGCATGCACGCCCACCTACTCGATCACTCACCCACTCGTTCGCCCGCATGCACGCCCACCTACTCGATCACACACCCACTCGTTCGCCCGCATGCACGCCCACCTACTCGATCACTCACCCACTCGTTCGCCCGCATGCACGCCCACCTACTCGATCACACACCCACTCGTTCGCCCGCATGCACGCCCACCTACTCGATCACACACCCACTCGTTCGCCCGCATGCACGCCCACCTACTCGATCACACACCCACTCGTTCGCCCGCATGCACGCCCACCTACTCGATCACTCACCCACTCGTTCGCCCGCATGCACGCCCACCTACTCGATCACTCACCCACTCGTTCGCCCGCATGCACGCCCACCTACTCGATCACTCACCCACTCGTTCGCCCGCATGCACGCCCACCTACTCGATCACTCACCCACTCGTTCGCCCGCATGCACGCCCACCTACTCGATCACACACCCACTCGTTCGCCCGCATGCACGCCCACCTACTCGATCACACACCCACTCGTTCGCCCGCATGCACGCCCACCTACTCGATCACTACACCCACTCGTTCGCCCGCATGCACGCCCACCTACTCGATCACACACCCACTCGTTCGCCCGCATGCACGCCCACCTACTCGATCACACACCCACTCGTTCGCCCGCATGCACGCCCACCTACTCGATCACACACCCACTCGTTCGCCCGCATGCACGCCCACCTACTCGATCACTCACCCACTCGTTCGCCCGCACTGCACGCCCACCTACTCGATCACTACACCCACTCGTTCGCCCGCATGCACGCCCACCTACTCGATCACTTCACCCACTCGTTCGCCCGCATGCACGCCCACCTACTCGATCACACACCCACTCGTTCGCCCGCACGCACGCGCTTGCTTAGTCACTCATCCACCAACTTGCTCAGCTGCCTGCTTGCGCGTTCACTCACATACTTACGCCACGGTGGCGAGATGTTAATTCCCTCGCCTGGTGTGCAGGAGATTGTGGGTTCCATCCCGACCGTGACGCCTGTATATTTGGAGTTTGCGTTCTCTCTCTCTCCTTGTGGTCGCGTGGATTTTTGTCCGGGTCCTCCGGTTTTTCCTTCCACATTAAGGATCCACATATGTTTAGAGTATTTGGTTGTTTAGAGTATTTGGTTGTTATATATTTCCACCTAAGCTGCTTCGTTGAGCTATCATTTGTGGCCGGGTCGCTTCTGAAAAAGAGCTGTATTGCTTATTGGGCTTTACCTGGTAACATAAAAAATAATTCAGGTTAGTTTAAATCATCACACACCCACTTGCTCGCTTGCTCCCCCTCTCGCCCATTAACTTATTTATTCGCTAACAGCCACCCACTCGTTCACTCGCTCCCTTATTCTCTAATGAATTCATTCACTGGATTACTCACTTGAGTACTCACTCTCTCATCCACCCACTCACCCGCTTGGTTATTAGTCTACTGGCTAACTCGCTCATTGGCTCCCTCACTAACACGCTCAATTATTCATTCATGTACGTACGAGCATGTAACTACACTCATTTGCATGTGCGACTCACGTTGAATACACGTGTGCTTACACGCCTGTGCTCTGTGCTGCGTGTTAGGTGTTACCTCGTCGTTTGCGAGCTACGTCTTTAAGACGGTGACGGGAAAATTCACCCCCTCCCTCGGCGCGGTAAGTTCATCCACCTTGACTATGACGATGATGATATACGTGATGAGAGCTGTGTTATGATGATGGTAATGAAGAAACGGTGAAGCTGCAATTACGGTTACGGTAAACGATTTTACAGTGCCAATGATTGATGATTGTGATGATGGTATCAATCAGAGTCGGTATTATGTTGAACCTCATTCGCACCGTACGTAGCCAAATGCGCTAACCGAAGGTGCAGAGCAATGGTGATCATGATGATGGTGACGACAGTGATGTGTATAGTTGTCATGATGAGTATAATGATGTTACGTTGATGATGATTATGTTGATATCGTCACTGATGTTATTGTCGTTTTCGTGCAGTCCGGTGCCATCATGGCCGTGCTCGCTGCCGTCTGCACCCAGTTCCCCGACAGCAAACTCGCGATCATCTTCCTGCCCATGATCCCTTTCACTGCCAGCAGCGTGAGTAGCTCTGTCCCCCTCCCTGCCTCTACCAAGGTGCCATCTCCCTAAACCAAGGCCCTGCCCCTTCTACAAGGTCCAGCATCCTTTATCCGTGTCTCCACACCTACCACCACGGCCCTTCCCAATACCACCAAGTCCTGTTCCCCATCTACCTGGGCCCACACCCCCATTTTACTGAAGCTCCTCCCCTCCCTCCCTTCACATCCGTATGTCCCCATGTTGTTTACATCTGCACGTCACCTCTTCTGTCCACGTGTCCTTGTCCCTGATCTTACCAATGTCCCGTGTCCTATGTTGCCATGTACCCATGTTCTAATGTCTCAAATCTCCCCCAGTGTCTCCTTGTACTCGGGTCTCTCTGCCCTCATATTTCCATGTCCTTATGTCCCTGTGTGCCCATGTAGCACTGTCTCCTTGTGCCTTTGTCTACACGTCCCCATGTACATGGGTCCTCACATACCAGTTTCCCCATGTCCTTGTCTTTCTTTGCCTGCTAAATCTGTGTTCCTAACGCCCTGTATGTATGTTGAACTTCTTACGCACTGTGCCGAGCCAACCATGATAATCGGAGGTGCGGGGGGACAACAAACTGAACTGAACACAAAAAGCAGTTTTAAAGAAATGCATTTTCAATCTACACGATTTCAAAGTGCATAGCTTCAGTGGCTTCCTAATATCGGAAGAGCATTCAAGATGGCCGCAGAAGCACATCTGAAAGCGCGCGATACGGTGACCGTCTTTGTTCGACAGTTTGCCAAACGCTGCTGCGAGGATGACCGGAGTCTGCTTGTAGACTCAGGTTCAATTATAATTAAAATAGCAACAGCATGTAGCATTCTTGGCTAACATTCCAAGTTATAATGACATAGCAATCGCAGGTCATTATGGTAACAAAGCCATTGCAATTTTTAACGGATCCCATTTCTGCCCCCTGGTCTCCTCTTTAGGCTCTCATGGGGATCATGGCTCTCGACACGACCGGACTCATCCTGGGCTGGAAGTTGTTTGACCACGCGGCGCATCTGGGTGGAGCCCTGTTCGGCATGTGAGATCACGCAGACACAACCCCTCGCCCAGTCTTTCACTGTCGTTGACCACGTGGCGATTCAACCGTGAAGATAGTTTGCCTCCATCCCTTTCATCTCACGACGATAACGTCATCGTCAGTGGGCATTAACAACACTGGCATCATCAGGCATCAATTTAATTGATTCCTGTGCTTAAAGCATGCCTTTTGAGCCTCGTGTGTGCATATGTCAGTGGTATGGAAATGGTATGTGAGTTTTTATATTTCATTAATGAAACCGATATTCAATTGATTCCATGGTTATTTCAATACTCTCCCTCGTTGCATCTTTAATATATACACGTTTCCACCTGATGTGATTGCACACGTATGTATGTACACGTGTGTGTGTAACCTGTCTCCACACACGTGCGTGCATTTACATATGTATTTGTGTATTTGTGTACGCGTGTGCAGTCTGTACGCGTGGCGGGGAAACGAAGTCATCTGGCTGAACCGGGAACCGCTGCTCAGAATCTGGCACAACATCCGCTCCCGCGGGGGTGGCTCCTAGCCCCGAGGGCATGGCCTAAGCCATGAGGGGTGGGGCTTATTACAAAAGGGGTGGGGTTTTGTCAGCAAGTGGGTGGGGCTCAAAGGGGGGGGGTGGAGTTTTGTTGGAGGGAGCTCTGGAACTTTGTGAAAACATGGGGTGGGACTGGCCACAAAATTGGGGGGAAAGGCTTTGTGTGGGAAAGTTTGGTGGGGCATTGTAAGACTGGTGAGGTGGACCATGTCACAAAGTCGGGGCGGGGCTTAAAAAGAAGAGATGCGAGGGGAGGGGTCTAAATAAACGATGATGGTGCTTGCTGTAAAAGGGGAAGGCATTTTTTTTAAAGAGCAGTCAGGGCCAAGATTATTTTAAAAAAGGAGGTAGTTAACTTCAAGGAATGGCTTTTACAAACGGGGCTGTGCTTAATTTAAAAAGGACAAGTTAGAGTGAAAGTGCATGATGCTATTAGAAGTGGGCATGGTTTATAATTTAAGTGGAGCACAGGGTGTAATGGAAATAGGGTGGGGTTAAAGCAAACGTGGGCAGGGCCAGGCTAGAAGAGGCTGGGCCCAGTCAACTGACATCGTGTCATCAGACGTGGCTTCAGAGAAGCCTTTGTTACTCTGCTTTGATAACGTCACACCAATACAGTTATTCTGAATAAACAAAAACATTATTCGGGGGAGGCCGGGTGGCTTGGATGCCAGTGCTGGACTAGCATAGCTGAGATCCTCAATACAAATCTGGGTTTCAGTCATCCGTTGCTAAACCAGGTTCTTAAACATAGCGAGCTGATGGTCCCCGCTCGCGATGTCACCAATGACTGCACGAAAAAAAAAACAATCACGTAAAATTTGGTTCTGCACTTAATATTGGTAATTTTTCGCTCTTATGATAAAAAAAAAATATTGGTTTGACTGTCATATGATGAACATTACTCGCTGCAGCAGGACAGGTGGGACAGTGCTGCTCTGCTTACTACTGTGTGCTACTTGGAAGAGATATCAGAGGTAGCGCCGTGCTATCTTCTTTCCGTGAACTTTTCTCGGACCAGAGGGTTGTGCACTGCCGTTTCCAAGATCCAGATAGATCCTTCTAGACTGATAGCATCATAGAGATATTGTTGGAAAATAGACAAAAACACACATCGTGGCTCATGAACATGTGCAAGAGCGGTCGTGGATATATTGGCTCTCAACACAATCTGTTGGGAACCTAAGGAAGATTTAAGTGTGTGTGTGTGTGATGGCATAATGGATTAGCCACTTCCTGTACCACAATTGTAGCCTGATCTGGTTCTGAACAGATCATTTCAGCCCAGAACAGACTCGGTCAAACTATTGCCCAAATGTAATGTCTCTGACCTGACAATGAAAAACATGTATTAAAGGCTACATACACCGACGTGTTGCAGTTTGAAAGAAATGTGTTTATGCGCAGTCCTATGCTATTTTTATTTATTACATGATGTAAATGTTAAGTTGCCGAAGTGAATTTAATTGTACGAACAAATGTGTACGTTTAATGGTCATTTTGTTTAATTTGGGGTGGTGTTTTGTGACATAGGCTGGTGAGGTCAGCACTTTTAAGGATAACACTTTTGATTTAAAGCTTTCGTGACTGCAGGGATTCATATTCTTGGTTCTTTCAGTAAAGTAACGTAAAAGGGAAACAATGAAATAATAAAAATAACCGCCACTCTTCAAATTTTCTTGTTGTGGTTTTCACACCTGATGATGATTGCTTGTGTTGCAGTCGAAACGTCGTGAGAATGTTATTGTTTTATATTTTTATTATTTTATTGTTTCCCTTCTACGTGACTACCGAAAGAACCAAGAATATCTGGATAACACTGTTTTATCCAGAGAAATGACAGCGTGATGGTTGTCATACCGGGAAAATTCGGGATAGGAGGAGGGGGGGGGGTACCCCCGGTATATTTATTTCTAAACAAAACTCATATCGACGATCTAAAGACCAAATGTGTCCCGTTTATAAAATATATATAAGCACATGCAATGAAATAATAAATCGCGACCCAATTTTGGAACGTACAATCCCAATTCTACATGTTACTTTACATTGCTAAACTGGGTTTGCTTGGCACGTGTGTGCGAAAGCACGGAGGTGCTGCTATCAAGTCAGCATTGCTATGCGCGCTGATATTTTTTTAGGTTCAGACGTGCGAATTTTAATTTTCAGCTGTCCACCGAAATACATGCACAAGACAGCATATCCACTGGCGGTATTTCGAGGACAAGCTGTACTTATATTCCATACGGTGATGCCGTGATAAAGGTGTCGCCTTTTTGTTGCCTTAACGGCCGGCCAATCCATAACTGCAGTCCTACCATCTGTAAGTCGAGTAACTGCAGGAAGTGAAAACACGTTGCTCCATCATTGTGCAAATACTCTGGTATTGCCAAGACCGCTGGGCTACTAGTAGGATTGGCAGTTTGATTAGCTGATCATTAAAAAAAAATCTATCGCCTTGTGAAGATATTTGTGAATGTAATTTTGGTAATGTAAGCCTGATCTGGAGGTTAAAAGCTTTGAGACTGCTAAAGATTCTCAAAATTTGGCCAAAACTGTTGGTCACGGATCCGCAATGACTACACAAAAGAGTTTAATAGTGACTACATTCCAGCTCTTGAGAATTTAAAATAATGGATTGCAATGTGACACATTACTTTCACCTGGCAGGGGGGGTGTGAAAGTGTGTCCCCCGACACAATGTTCATCAGCGGTTTCAGAAGTGTGAATTTATGATTTGTCTCATGACATGCCGATAGCACCAAACTACGAGTGAAGTAGCACCTCCGATTAGCACGGTTGGCTATGTACTGTAAGACGGATGTTCAACAAATGATTTATAAACAATTGATAAATCAAGCAAACAAGGCACCTTTGCAACATTTACGAACAGCCGTGTTTGAAAAACATGCAATTATATTCAACCAAAGTTCCCCCTCCATGCTATAGTGGCATACGAACGAAGTGCCTTGAAAATTCGGATACACAAAATATACAGCTATTTAAAACAAAAAATGGCCACGTATTTTACAGTGATGAGCATGCCATCACAAGTACAAATGGACGGCCATGAACATGGATACAAATTCGCATTTCAGCATTTGCATATCACGGCATCTCGTAAAAGAAAACTCTAAAAAAGGCAAATCAATGAAAGAGTTATATTTGTCATTCATAGGGGACTGTCAGAAGTGAAGTGGCGGCTAACGCGTTACACTACCAATCCAGCAACATGAGTTGGATTCCCAGCCATGGTTAACACAGGTGGAGAGCGATATCTGAACCGGACCTGGACCTCCCCTTCTCCAATCCTCAATCACCAAAATAGTCCCCTCAGACTCACGTAGGTAAGGAACCGTAATGAAGCATTGGATTCAAAAGAGGTGCCCGTACTTGTACTAATGTTCCAGCGTATCTGTTCTGAACAGATCTAAAAGCAAATTATTGGCAGAATGTATTGTCGTTGCACATGACTTGCAAGCATCTGCAATAGTTTTACATTGGTGAGCATTTGGATATTTAAATAATTGTCTTTAAATAAACTAAAAGTTAACCAGAAAATGTTAAACCTTCGTGATGTTGCAAACGAAGATTTAACCTGGTCCTCTTGACCTCCCTTTTCTGCTCAGTGGCACTTGAATCACTACCTATGGGATATTCACTCAAAACTGCTCTAGAGGAGTTGTACACCCCTAGCTGCCACTGCTATTCAGTGGCCTAAAATATGGCTCTAGGGTTTGGTGTTACATGTTGTTTATTGTAAAAAAAATTCGGTCACAATCCCTATGGTCACTGTTACATTGCATTTATGGCTTTTATTTTGGTGATTTCGAAAACGTTTTTTTGGTTTGGCCATGTTTTTGTTTATTGTAGTACGGAGTTAGACTGATGGCCTTTATCTTTGTTGTCTTGTGGTTGTTGTTTGACTTGCATCCCACTGGGATTTTGCACACAGCGTTGGTGTACGGTGCTATTTCAGGAATATTTTGATTTTTTCCTGGATTTTCTGTTTGCACAGTCACACATAATCACTTTAAGATGTTTTTCTTGTTCGTGTTTTTTGTTTGTTGCGGTTGCACCCGATTCAAGAGCCGAATGGCTCACAGGGCTCTACCAAATAAATGGAACTATGACGCCGGACATCAGAATGACCACGTGGCCGACCACGTGGACCGCAGGACGCACGTTGAGATAGGCGCGTGCCCATCAAGTCGGTTTGAATAATGCACATTCGTTAATATAACAGTGCCTTTGAGTTGTTTTGTTTGTTATTAATTCTGCAGCGCTGTGAGACTACTGTTACGGGCGATGTAATCAGGATTATTTTTAAATATCTAATGGATAAATATATCGTTAGATGGTAAATTATTAAAGTTTACGAATGGATGCTAAACACATTTTAAGTCGATATGGATACAGACTCGGCTACACTCTTGGCGAAGGGACGTACTCAAAGGTAAAACGCATCAGCAAAACTTTTATTAATCATCGTCACATTAACTTTTTCACACGCTTGGCTGTGTTGTGACCACGTCTATAACGCTAAGCCGTGCGTGGCGTAAGAAGCACCAAGTGGTTTGACGATTCGTAAAACACGAATCACCTTGGTACAGTATTCTATAGCTGGGCATGACCCATTGATGAAACTATCCGAATAGTTATACTGGAGGAATCCGATGAGCTTTAAAGCAATTTTTTCAACATGTCCAGTAGGGTCATATCAAAACGTTACAACAACAAAAAAAACTATTTAAAAAAAAACGCGGTATGCGTGCAAAGTATAGGAAAGGTAAACAAATCACTTTATATTCTTGGTTCTTTCGGTAAAGTCACCACGTAGAAGGGAAACAACAAAACAATAAAAAATATAAAACAATAAAATTGTCACGACGTTTCGACTGCAACACAAGCAATCATCATCAGGTGTGAAAACCACAACAAGAACATTTGATGATTGCTTGTGTTGCAGTCGAAACGTCGTGAGAATTTTACTGTTTTATTATTTTATTGTTTCCCTTCTACGTGGTGACTTTACCGAAAGAACCAAGAATATGAATCCCTGCAGTCACGAAAGCTTTATATATACACACACACAAAAATAAACGTACCTTTTGTGTCTAACCAGGTAAGGCCCACAAATCCGTGTCAACGTTGCTGAGGGGGTGCCCGTAATGCGTTTTATTCACTTGAGGCCTTGTTGAAGGATTGTTGCGAGGGTTCTCTTGAGTTACTACTGACACCCTCGCCATCACCGCAGGTGAAGTTTGCAACGTCGGAGCAGCACGAACGACGCGTGGCCATCAAGGTCATTGACCGCAGGAAGTTGCCTCCCGACTTCGAGGAGAAGTTCTTGCCCAGAGAGGTGGACCTACTCAGGTAGGCTCAGCCAGGCGAGGGCCTTAAGCCTGGTGCTGTTAGTCCAGGCTTAGTCTGGTGTTGTTATTGTTGTTTGAAGACCCATAAAGAGACAGATCTCTGTCCTATCGTCTGAACACTCCATCACGTAAACATGTCAGTCTACTGTAGAGATTCCATCAGTTGGCTCTCTAAGTCCATTGTCTAGAACAGGGGTCACCAAACTTGTTTCACAGTGGGCCGGATAACTGAAAGAATGACGAGCGCGGGCCGCATAATAAATACATAAAATTGCTGGAGCGTCGGATCTGTGTTAACAGCTGGAAAATCTGGGGGCGGGAAAGATGCGTGTTTGTGTTGCCATGGAAGCCATGGAAACCATGGCAACGTGGTGCCATGACGTTGCCATGGAAACCATGGTAACGTGTTGCCATGACGTTGCCATGGAAACCATGACGTTGCCATGGAAACCATGGTAACGTCAGAGCGTAGGCGGAGCTACCACGAGCCGGGGAAGGACTTGGGATGGCGCGAAATAAGCAAACGTTACAATAAACAAGAAAATCTAGATACAATAACTTAAAATTTAAAATAGTACATTTAAGGAACATAGCAGTCAGGAGGTCTCCGCACGCGTGAAGATCTAGTATTCTAAACATTTAAATTGTATCACAACGTCTCGTGTTCCATACGTTTTATCAACCAAATTCAAGTACCGTCGGCGGGCCTGATGGACTGACGTCGCGGCCCGGATGCGGCCCGCGGGCCATAGTTTGGTGACCCCTGGTCTAGAAGACCCTCGTTAGGGACCAGCTTGTGTATTGCCTAGACAACCCCATCAGAGAACGATCTATTATCTAAAGACCCCATGCAGAGACTGGCCGCATCAGTGTAATGTCTGGACACCCTGTCAAAGACCGATCTTTCAAGTCTCTTGAGACCAGTCTGCTCGTGTATTGCTTGGATATCTCATCAGATACCCCATTTGGTATTCAGCGCTGCTGATTCAGTGTTTCTAACACGTCCATTGTGAACCACCAGAGTAACTCAGCCTGATTGCTCACTCAGATTCTCAGACCCGGCCATCGTGAACCAATTGCCATTTGAAGCTCACCATCCCAAAGGTGTCGACAGCCATTATGAACCTCTTCGAGATTAATGATCTTATCCACGCTGCCGAGTTTTAGTATCGCAGAGCTGGACATTATGAGCCTCGAATGATGATGATAGAGAGAAAGACATGCACCAAGCCCCATGGATCTCACCCATGATCAATGCTTGCCAGCTCACGAGTCTTCCAACCTGGCCATTATGACCACGTGTTCTGCCTGTTGGGGCCACAGATCCCTGCACCACCAGAACATTGTGGAGGTCCTGCAGCTCATCGAAGGCTGCCGCGGATACATCTTCATTGTCATGGAGCTTGCACAGTCCGACCTCCTCCGGCTCATGCAGGAACGGGGCAGCCTGGACCAGCGCACCGCTCGGGGGATCTTCACAGAGGTGCGGTGGTGATGGTGTTCGTGGTGATGCTTAGTGTGCTGCACTACAAACCCTGCGACCCGAGTTCAATTCCCACTCCACGGCCAACACCGGTGACGATTATCTGAACCGGTCGTGGACTTTCCCGAGGTTGACTCAGCCTCAAATGAGTGCCTGGTGCAGTGTGTATACATTGCCACTAGGGAGACAAAGGCGGCCGGGCTTGGTGCTGGCCACCCGCCTCATCGTGTGCCGTGCCGGCCCTCATAGGTGGTCGCTAAGGGCACTTGCCCCAACAGTCTGTTAAGACTATACAGGGGATCTTTGTCTTTAGTGGTGCTTCGCTGTGGTGGTTGTGGTTGTTGTTGTGGTGGTGGTAATGTGGTCTAGTCATAATTACTATCATATCCATCACCATCCACGTCATCGCCGTCACGTCTTTGCCATTATCATTTGCACTGGGGAGACAAAGGCAGCCAGGCACAGCAGGATATGACTGTGGCTGACCATATGGAACGTCCCAATGCTCGTTGGGGAGGAGAGGCTGCGATTTCCTTATTTGGGAGCCACACCGATACCGCCTGGACTTTTATGGAATACATGAGGTCCGGTGGACTGGTTCTCGCTCCATTCACCACGAGAGGTGGACAGCCCATTCCTGGTCAATGCATAAAATACCACAGGAACTCCAAAAGCACGAATGCTAACCCATGGCCCTTGTCTTTTGACTATCATTAAGATCATTAATGATTGTGCGCAATCGTTAAAGTTCACATTTCTTGTTAACCGTGGGGAACAACCGGGATGTTCTCTGTCCCCGACACTGTTCAACATTGTTCAAAGTGCATCGAGCCGAGCACAAAGCACTGTGGTCACAAGTGTAACTTCGTGGCCAAATGGCAGCTGTTTTTTGTTTTGTCGTTGTTGTTGTGCACACAAATCTGTACACGCGCTATCTGCGGGCACCTTTGTCTTTGCGTGCGTGCAGCTTTGCAGTGCCGTGCACTACCTGCACCAGATGCACGTGTCTCACCGCGACGTCAAGTGCGAGAACGTGCTCCTCGTCGACGGGCTGCACGTGCGCCTCACCGACTTCGGCTTTGCCCGGCAGTTCCAGATGGACCGAGCGTCAGTCCCAACGCACCACCGATTCTCTAGTGCGCAGTGGTTCTCAACAGTGCGGTCCCAGGTTACTGGGTCCGTGACGGTCCTCCAGGTGGTCCGTGGGGCTGTGATGCAAATGTAGGTTGATCCGGAAATACCTTTTGTTTCGGACATAAATTCATATTTTACTTATGATATTTCATTTAGAAATTAAGTTGGGTAAAATACCCTGATTATACTACCGTAACCCTAAGATCTAAATGCCCCCCCTAAAAGAACCTTATAGTTGCGTAATTTTCTTTTTAACTTTCCAGTAGATGCACCATGGTCTGTGTTTCACCGTAGTCGCACGTGTCAGTGTAGTTCAAGTAATGTCACTTACCACCACAAACACTCATGAGATGAAGACTTATTTTGGATCTCTCACAGAGTAGTGCAACTGTCCACACTTGAGAACAAGCGCACGACAGGAGATGCCACCGTAGAACTTCTCAGATCCCAGTCAAGTGACCTCGAGCTTACACAGTAGGGGGCAGCACTTTCCCATCTGTCCTGCTACAAGGAGGAGTGGTTCAACGCTTGACAGTCACGATACTTTTAATTCTCACAGATGGAACGTCACTAATTTAAGCGCGGAACCAAATGTAATGTGATGTATTTTTCTTTGCTGAGACCATAAACTCACGACAATGGAGAACCCAGTTTAAGCAAAGGCGATCTCTTTAAATGGAAATGGATAAAGTTGAGCAAATTAGCAGCAAGATATGTCAATGAGAATTCTCACAAAAAAAACTATTATCACTGTGATGTCGAAATTTGTAGGAAGAATTGTCTGAGGGCGACAAGAAAGCCAGACTGAATTGCATATGTGGAATCTATAGCAAAGAGAGAGATTGAACTGAACTAAATAGGTCTCACGCTGGTAGAATGGACCGTGACAGGAAAATTATAAAAAAAGAAATATGCAAATTGTGATAGAGGGAATTACTCCATGCATCATACAGCCATTGACTCAAACCAAATCCCTCGTGACATAATGGAGGATTTCGCAACGAACGTAACTATACAAATTTTTTTATTTAGAATAAACCTGACATGTTATTTTTTTACAAATCCTAATTTATTACGTACAGTTGTTTGCTACAGGGCAATAAGCCACTGTAGATGAAATTAATATCACGTGTCCAACAATGGTCAAAAAACTTTGAATTAGGACGTCAAAATCCCAATTTTCACAAAGGCTTTGGAACATCGGGTGGCAGCATTTTATGCAACCGGAACTGTGCTGACCAAACAAACACATTTGGTCGCTTTATTCCAAACCCCACAAACACCACCCACCCACCCAACCTTCCGCAGGCACCCGGGCTGTCTGGAGGAGCTGAGCAAAACTTACTGCGGCTCTGCGGCGTACACGTCGCCCGAGGTGCTGCTGGGAACGCCGTACGACCCGCGCCTGCTCGACCTCTGGAGCCTGGGCGTGGTGCTCTTCATCATGGTCACGGGATACATGCCCTTCGATGATTCTAACCTGATGCGGCTGGTGCGGCAGCAGAAGAGAGGCGTGATATTCTCTGGGGCAGCCTCTCCGGGCGCATCCTCTCACGCGCAGCCACCGCCGGGTCCCTCCGGCACGGACGACAGCGACGACGGTGGCACCGGTGCTGCCGATGGCAGTGGCCTCGACGACATCACGGCTGGCGACGTGCCGTCGGGATCATTGTCCTCGCCACGGAGAGACGGTGCGGTCGCTTCGAATGCCACGGTAATGAGAATGCATGCTAATGCGTCTGTGAATTTACAGCCTTGGTCAGTTCGCTACAGGTTGAGGGAATTACCATGCTGTGTTGGTCGTGGTCTTTGTTTGACCACACTTCACCATGCTGGACAGGTGTGATTGTAAGTAAAGGTGTGCGTTTATGTACAGGCGAGTGTTTGTGTGAGTATTCACCCTTGTGTTTGGGAAAATCGACCCCCACTTGCTTGTGGTGTCAGTAGCATGGTGCGTTGTGGGTAATGCCATTGAGGGAAAGGCTGACATTAGTCAGGCCATTACCCTCATAACATGCTCGCATCCACCACAGTTGTAAATGGAGCCATTGAATGAGTACAAAGGGCTGATAATCCGTCCACTAAAACTTTATTTCGAAATAACCACAGGAAAAAAACACATCAAAGTAAGAGTGTGTCCGAGGCCTCCGAGGGGACGGACGTCTATGATATCCCCTGGTGGAACCCCATATGGCAGAGCCAGGGACTGAAATCCAACCTCTCAGGGATCCTCTAGAAACAACAGCCAATCACTGCAGCTACCCACGTTTCAGTTTTCAGTTTATTTATTTTGGTATAGCCCTGTGAGCCATTTGGCTCTTGAATCGGGTGCAACCACAACAAACAAAAAACACGAACAAGAAAAACATCTTAAAGTGACTATGTGACTGTGCAAACAGAAAATCCATGAAAAAAAAACAGCAAAATATTCCTGAAAAAGCACCGTACACCAACGCTGTGTGCAAAAATCCCAGTGGGATGCAAGTCAAACAACAACAACAACCACAAGAAAACTTAGATTAAGGCCATCAGTCTAACTCCGTACGACAACAAAACAAACATGGCCAAACCAAAAAAACTTTTCGAAATCACCAAAAAATAAAGCCATAATTGCAATGTAACAGTGATCATAGGGACTGTGACCGAATTTTTAACAATAAACTACATAAATAACATGTAACACCAAATTCTAGAGCCATAGCTGGCTGCATGAGCTTCTCCACAACAACAGAAGCATCAGTCGGAGTATCACATTTTTCAATGCACCTTTTAGATCAGCACGCTAAATCACAATACAGATAATACTTTGCAGCATCATCCGTGAAATGTCCAAACGTCCACTGAGAAGAAGAGGCTACCATTCCTGTGTCAGAATCTGGGCGGGTACCGTCTGGACCCCTGTGGAATGCAGGTCTGGTAGGCTGGTTCTGGCTCCGTCACCAAGGGGGATGGATCATCCTCCACTCTAAAGAAACTTAAAGAAACAGGGAGTGGCTTTTCTCACGAGTAAAAATATGAAGGGAACGTGGGAGTATGGTGGTGAGGTATGAGAAGCAATGGTTCCCAGGTTATTGTGAACTCGCCCCCCCATCAACAAAGGAATGGTTGTGGTGGCCTGAACCCAAAAGGGGTTGACCATCAGTAAACGGATCAAAAAAGGGCTGATGATTCAGATTCCTTCTATGACCTGTCCCAGTTGCTGGCTGCAGAAATCCCAATTGTGTCCACAGAGACAGCTGCCACTGGGGGTGCTCTATAAAATGTTTTAGATTAGATTTGATGCAAAGCGTTTATGAGGCTCCCTGTCATAAAGAGTGCGAGTTGGAAATAAAGCAAAATCATCATCATTACTCCATCCAAAACAGAAATAGCTGGGACTTGGTGAGTACAGTCTGTTCTCCTATAGCGCGTGCGATGAATGTATGAGGGAACACACGTTTTATAACGCAGATGCGAATGGATATAAAGTGATTGAGTGAACAGAACTGCGTCACGTGAGTAGGAATAAGCGGTTGTACGGCTGCCTTGGCTGGATGCCTCTAGATGCTACCCACGCGCCTCAGTCTTTGTTCAGCCTGCATATATGCATCTTACGTGTTATCGCGGACTGTGCTTCACCCTATACTATTTATCATAACGTGATTTTTCCATCAGTGTTCTTCAAAAACGCGACTACTTCATTGTAGGAGAACAGGCTGCAGTTGAAAGATGCAAGCGAGAATTTGAGAAAAGTCACTGAGAAGACAAGAGAAAATCTCTGCGTCATTGCCCCATGTGTCCACAGGTGGACACGCGGTGCGAGGACCTCATTTTGAAGCTGCTGTCATTCAAGCCTTTGGCTCGACCTCAGCTTGCTCAGGTCTTCTTGCACCCATGGATGATGGAGGCTCCGGATCAAGACCTAATGCGCATCCTCTGACCACTTCTGGCTGAGCTGACCCAGGGTTGGCACAATCCCCACGTGGTTCCTCAGTTTGGTTCTACGACGTAGTGGTTGAGGAAAGGTCCCTTGAGTGACACAGCGCTGCTTTGTCATAATTAAAACATAAGCTTTGCTCGCGTTGTTATGCGCCTCGGTATTTATGCTCACCACTCAGCTGACACGCACCAGACATCGCCCGCCAAATATTTAAACTCACCACTCAACTGACACGATTTATGAGAGGCTACAGCTGATTCAGATATACGTACACCGTGTGTAGATTAGTTGTGTCCCAGTCGGACCCATTTTTGTTCCCGTGATTCCGTGGACCTGTTGATAAGACTGTCCGTTTCAAATCAAGAGCATTCTGCTTTCGAACAGGACCAGCCAAGCGAATGAGCGTGTACAGTCGTGTAACTAGCGTGGAGGCAGGCGGTGCCCAGGCCTCCCTGGTGGCCAAAGCTTCGAGTTTGGGCCCCCCTTGACAACCACCATGATATGCTTTCAACAAAGAATGTAAAAGAACAAAAACGTATTTAAATCGCGGTTTCAATTTGTTAATGCAAAGGCTTTCAGTTACGATTCACGTATTTATTTATTTAATTAGAGCAATAACGCTTGGAGTAAAATAACATGTGAAATATAACTCCGTTTCTGGTATATTTAATTAATTAGATACGCGTAAATTATATTGCAAAGCAGTAACTACGGAGCTGCAGTAGCTGCATTTTGCGAAGACGGAGTGCCCCTGCAGCGTTAAATGTTCGAGGCCGTGAGCGTAACGTTGTGATTATCAGACTCTTGAGTATTTATACTGGAGGTATCCAATGAGCTATGAAGATCTTTTTCACAGTTGTCCGGTAGTTTTCACAGACGTCCAGTAGAGTTGGCAAGAGGAGCCGCGATTTATCGCCTAGGTGCGACCGTGCGAGACAAATCAAATATTGGGGACCCACCGAACCGATTCCCGCACCCGCCGTGAGCTGATAATGTAGTCACTACGCCGCTGAGAGTCGCGTGCGTTGAGCAAGTTTTCTCAGCCCCCTCGATTGAGAAAGGCTTCCAGGACATGCAGATTGACCATCGTTTTGAATGAACGCCACGTACACTGATTTCATGTCCACGGTGATGCATTAGTCTGTTGCTAACTTTAAATGTGCTCATCTTGAAACGGCTTTCGAGCATGATTGGGTGTCTCGCAAATGCAGGCAGAGCCGCTACTAAGAGCTGCATGATTGAGCTCAAGAGAGCTGAGATGTATATGAGCTGTGGGACATGAGCATGCAGACACACCAGGTGATGCGTGATCGTTTATACTCGGCGATGGGTGACGGACGATCACAGCTCTTGCTGGAACATTCATTTGGTTTATTCTGGGCACATGCAAAAATATTCTCCACAAATGTGGATTACACCATACAGCTCAGTGTAGTCTCAAGAATTAATGCTCATTCACCTTCCCAACCAACGTCGATGGCTGGGAGATTCAGAGTTGCTGTGGGCACCTGGGAGCCGTGGTTTAAGCTTGCGAATCGCTGAGGCTGTTTGACCACGCCGGTCACGCTGGTCACAGTGGTTTGATGAGGATACCTTCCCGATAGGGGAAGGCATCGTGACTGCCTAGGGCCTAGGAAGTCACACATTTTGATACTAAATGGTCAGCGTTGTAAATGTTTTTTTTACTCACGTACGATTGTTACGGCCTATGGGATCCGCCGGCACGCGTTAGACCCCAGAAGCTCAGCAGGGTTTTGGGCCTGGATAGTGCACAACGAGATGGCGCGTTGGCCACCCTGTTTAATATTGCTGGTGTATTTTTCATACACCGCCAATACATTATATGGACAAAGATCCCCTCCGTGTGGCCTTAACAGACTGTTGGGGCAAGTTGCTGTTCGCGAGCACGTGGGGGTGGTGTGGCAAAAACACCACGCCCGGCCGCCTTTGTCTCCCGAGCGGTGATGTTAGCACACCGACACCAGGTACTCATCTGAGGCCGAGTCGACCTAGGGGGTGGCCCAGGACCGGTTCACAGGTATTCGTCACTGGATTGTTGGCCGTGACCGGGAATTGAACTCGGGGAGGGGGGGGGGCGGGTTCCGTATCGCAGCGCGCTAACCGCTGCACCACCGCTCCCCGTACATTACAAACGCTGCGTGCAAATTGAGTCGACAAGTGCAGGTGAGATTGAGTGCCTAATAAAGTGAATATTTACCGCATCCTGTACGTTGCCTTACGGAACTAAAGCGTGAACACGGACGACGACAAACAAAAAATGAAATAGAACCTGAAAGGGCTCAAAAGCAGCGTGTCCAACTGCATACTTTGAATTTGCCGGCGGGAGAGAAAGAGGAACGCATCATTTTGTGTGCGCGCATTGTGGGGATCAATAGACGCGCTGGAATGTAAGGCGCATCCCAAACGTGTACACGGTGTCAATAAAGTTATTAACATCTGGTGTTTAGAAGTGTTTTTTTTTGTCCTTATCCCCCACCCCACCCCACATTAGCACCGTCGGCTACGTACGGTGCGAAAGAAGTTCAACGTCACAAAAAATATCCCCCGTGTAGCCTGACTGTAGGGGCAAGTGCTGTTAGCGAGTGGCACCTATGAAGGCCGGAACGGTACACGAGGGGGTAGGGTGGGCAGCACCACGCCCGATCGCCTTTGTCTCCCCGGTGGCGATGTTTACACACCGCACCAGGTACTCATTTAATGCTGAGTCGACCTAGGGGAGGCCCAGGACCATATTCAGAACACATTCCTGCGGAGGGGGTTGGTAGGAACGTTGGTTGCTCGGCGGTCAGTGGCCAGGATCAACGGCGGCACCACGTGGTGTATTCCGTATAATATGCCCGACTGTGAGGGCGGGCACAAGCCGGCGTGAGTAGGTTAAACGTTGAGTTTTATAAGGGCACCACGGGGTGACCAGCCCCTCCCCACCCAGCCCCACCTAGCCCCATCCCCACCCACCCCTCCCTACCCTCCCCTCTCCACCCAGCCCCACCCCTCCCATTTTTTATATCCGAATGTCCGGATACACGTGGACAGACATCCACAGACATACACAATCCCCTGCCTCCTGTGAATCCCGGTTGGGCTTCCAGTCCATATAAGGGCACCACGGGGTGACTAGCCCCTCCCCACCCAGCCCCACCCCACCCAGCCCCACCCCTCCCACCCCCCACCTAGCCCCACCCTCCCCACCCAGCCCCTCCCCACCCTCCCCTCTCCACCCAGCCACCCCTCCCACGTGGACAGACATCCACAGACATACACAATGAATCCCCTGCCTCCTGTGAATTAATCCCGGTTGGGCTTCCAGTCCACTACGTTTCCTACCAGTATAATCGTCACCGTTCGTCACTGTGGTGTTGGCCGCGAGCGGGAATGCGAACCCGGGTCGCCCAGTTAAAATAGCGCAGCGTAGCGCTAACCGCTACACCATCGCTCCCCACCCAATACAACGAACGCCGCGCACGTCCGCACGGGAAAACCCACCCCCCGACCGGATTTAAAAACGCAATTAAAAACAGATGCGCCTCCTATCTGGTAGAATACGGTAACCGCGTGCGCTGTGGCGTCGGTGAAAACCGCGTTTGGTATTCGTTGCCCAACCTCGGCCGCCGTCGCGTCTCGGCCACCGTCGCGTGTTGTGTAAACACACGCGTGTTTGTTTTTCGCCTCTATTGTTCGCGGCCGTCGCGATCCCGCGGTGCGCGGCACCAGCCCCGTCCGTCTTTGCCTCTCCTCGTCCCTCGCCAGGGTAAGAGCGGCCGCGCCGCTATCTCGGCCGTGAAGGGGGGCAAGCCGCGGAACGTCGCCGCAGGTTCGCGACTTCTTCGCGAACGTGGGTCGGGGCCTAGTATCGGGAGTCACCGCCGCGGTCCCGCGGTTCTGGCCTGGAAAGGCCGCCGACTTGGGGCCAGCGAGCCCCGCCGCGGGGTGTTAGGCGACACGCGCGGCTTAGATTGCGCTGTAGGCCACGGCGACTGTTAAATGTGGTGTTATTTGGCTTGAGTTGAACACTGTCGGTTTGTGGTGTGCTTGTTTCGAGTTTTAATTGGGAGGTCAACATGCGTCGCTGTGTTTTTTAGTGTTACATCGCTATTGGGCAGGGTAGTGTGGGCTGCGTCACCCACGTCCGGCCGTCTTTGTATCTCCCCGTTGTCGATGTTTACACACTCCACCAGGTACAGTTCTCGTAATAAGGCTAAGGTCAACCTCGGGGAAAATCTGGACCGGTTTCGATGTAACTCGTAACTTTATATTTATTGGCCGTTAATCGCGGCGTTACCAGCAACACAGAACATTACCCTACCAGCTGATGTGTAAATGTGGCTAAGTAAATATTACCCGGCGTTGTTTGTGTAACCGTGAGAGTCGAAAACTGAATTGTAACACGAATGGAATGAGAACATGTTTATGCTTCAACGATATGCTTTAATGTTAGAGCCCGGCCTATCGTTTTCATTTTGCAGATAAAACGCTTACCATGTGGGAAGTCCGATTGAGTTGTGGTCTCTCACATAGCTTGCTTTGAATTCAGTATTCAAATACTCTATAGTACGTTACTTTGAAGAGAAGAAACCGCGTACTGTAATACTTTGAAAAACGTTTCCACTGAACTGCCAACATTGGTGTGAAAACGATGATAATGACATAGTTGCAGTTTCCCGTAACTAATATTTGAAATTATTGTTTGAAGTTTATTTACTAAATATTTTTTGTATGTATTCATAATATTATTTTTATGCCGATTGTCTGCTGCTGCTGCTGTGTCCTGTACAGCGCTTTGAGTTCCTTGATGAAGAGCCGCTGTACAAATGGAATTGTAGGATTGGAATTGATAGTCGTTTGCGCATGGCCCCCGACGCGATCCCAGTGCTCATTTGAGTTATGGGGAAACGCACTGGTTGTTGGAAAACACAATTTTGTTCCTCCATGTGTCATTACTGCGTCCCTTACAAAGTAGAAAAAAAACAACAAGGGCACATGTTTGCAGCCATGAGACATTGGTGGAAGTATTTTAATGCGTATGACGGGAGACTGAGTCTATCCATAGGACAAATTTTGGCTTCCTCACAAAGGGGTACTGATTGTATCGACCCCGAATAAATGATAGGCTGCATCTACCCCAATAACGATTTGAGTTAGCAACATGATGGCGAGACGCTCACTTCGACTGCTGAGCGACCTGGCCTGATACACCCCTTAAAAGTTTTTTTTGGTAATGTGTTTAATAAGAATTGCACACAGTCCGACATGCCAGATCAGGGCTTATTTTGTGCACAGTAACGCGACCCTTGACGATGGTCCCGATGTGTGTTGTGAAACCCGATATAACAGCGACGTGATGTATTTGTCTGGCAAGGTTTCGCTGGGTCTCCGGGATATCTTTTCATAAGTCCCTCTCATTGCGATGCCTGGCCGCATTCAATTTGTTTACAGTCGTGGTTTGCGATACAATGCCATATACTCTTGGGTTCTTTCGGTAAAGTCACGTCGGTAGAAATACAATAAAACAAAATATCTTCTACCTACGTGACTTTACCGAAAGAACCAAAGAGTATGGATGCCTGCATTCACGAAAGCTTCAAATCAAGATCAATACAATAACATTTTCATTTATATATTGTCTAATTGTGTCCGCATCTCAAAACGCTGTAAATAGGTCTGCATGTATATTTTGTATAAATCGCCTCTTAAGGCTGAGATCTAAATAAATGTTTTGAGCTTGTATTTGAACAGGGGCGGAGTTTAACTGGTGGTGGAAGGCAGTAATCGACCCTGAGGCCAGCATAGGAGAATCAGCAACCTCCAAAACACACTCAATGAGTTGATGTGTGTGGAAGTTGGGGATTTTTGTTTGTTAGTCTTATTGTCTCTGATAATTTCCCGAGCGTTAACTTTGGCGTTCTAAGCTCCACGGTCAATTCTTACTGCGACGTAAACGCTTTTATTGAACTCGAGACGTCGATTTGAAAGCTTTCGTGTGAGCTCGACGTGGTCATGGCAACGACGGTAGATGGTGGCGGCGATGGTTTCAAAGCCACGTGGCGGCTCGTGCTCCCACGACATTATAGAGGACTGGGTTTAGAAGGGGGGTTTGCGAGGAATAGGTGCTGAGTGCTTAGCATATGGTGTTTGTATTGGGTTTGTGTCTGGGTGGGTGGAGGGTGAGTGGTGTGTGTGTGTGTCGTTTGGATTGCGTTTTGTAGAGTGAGTGGAATGTGTTGTTTCGTCGGATTGCAGTTGTGTGGGTGAGTTTTATATTTGCTACGTCTTGGGTATATGTGTGTGTGTGTCATGTATTAAGCTATAAGTATGTGGTATGCGTTTGTGTGAGATTATGTGTGTTTCAAGTATGTATTATCTGTGAGTATAAGTTTGTGTTTTTCGTTTGGTTTGAGTTTGTTGTGTTACAAGCGCACATAGCTTGTTGTGTGTAAGTATTGTACGTGTTATTTATTGGGGATTAGTGTGTTTATGTTATGTGTGGTACATGTGTGTTATGTGTTGGGTTTGAGTTTGTTTATTTTTGGTTGCCTGTGACCAAATCAACTGGAATTATCTGCAAATATCTGAAGCTCAGAAAACTTGAGTCTGAATTAGTGCTTCGTTGGGCAGTCTCGCGTTCTGGACAGCAAAAAGCAGTGCGCTGACGACCCACGTGGTGAGGCATGGTCAAATAACCTGTGGGGAGACACCTCATCCACCGTGGGATTGACAAAGGACCGCACAAGTAAATGGGTGTATTATTGTGTATTAGTTGGAGTCAATAGATGGGTGTGCATGTAACTGCAGAATGTATTGTGCATTGGATACAAGTGGTGTGATTGCTGTGCGTGTATTTGTTGTGTGCTATGTAGGGGTGGAACAATGTTTCAATGCATGGATTCATGACGATTCTTAGACTTATCGTGCGTCAAATTCTGTGTGTAACAAGCGAATTTAAAAAAAATGTATATGTTGTATGTAAAGTGTTTTGAGTCTCTCCTGCAGCAACTGAAAGTTCCGCCATTCACCATAATGTAACAAAAACATGATTGAATCGCAGCCCTGAATCGTGGCAATGCATTGAATTGCAGGGGTTAATTTTATTGTGTTGTGTTTGAGTCGGCGTGTGTATTCAGTGGTGTATGTGGTTGGTGAAGTCTACCATGAGCCTGGCGATCAATTCCTTGCAAAGGCCAACATCAGTGGCGAGTGATATATGATATGGGTTCTGGGCTCCAGGTAGGTTCACTGAGCCGTGTATGGCTAAGTCGACCGAGTGTATGTATGTGCGTTTGTCTTCTCTGTGCATACGCATCTGTATGAATGCGTGTGTAACTGCATAAGTTTGAGGAACCGGTGGCACACATTCGATTTGCCATTCACTGCCAACATCGGTGGCGAATATCTAAACTAGTTCTCGGCCCTCTCCTGGTTGACTCGGTCTTAAAAAAAGAGAGTACCTCGTGCGATGTAACATCAGCACTGGGGAGACAAAGGTGGCCGGGCGTGGTGCTGGACACCCATCCATCCCCTTGTGTGTGCTTTATTGGCCTCTATAGGTGCTCGCGAACAATACTTGCCCCAACAGAGTCACCCTTTGCTTTTGTGAATGTTTCTCTCTGTGTGTGTGTGGATAGTGGCGTTCATTTATATCTGAACCAACTGTTTGCGCCCCTAGGTCGGTTCGGCCTTAAACGAGTAAAGTACTGAGGTGTGTAAACATCATCAACAGTGGGGAGATAAAGGTATCCGTGTGCAGCCACAGAAAACTGGCCTTAATAGGTGCTCACCAACAGCACTTGCCCTAACAGTCTGTTAACGTTTACAAGGGGGTGGGGAGCTTTGTCTTTATGTGTGTGTGTGGAGTCTGTTGGATATGAATGTGGTGTTTGTTGGGTGTGAGTTTGATGTGTATGGGTGTTGGATGTGTGTTTTTTTACTCAGAGCTGGGTGGGTATGTTTGTGTAGTGCGTGTGTGTGCTGGGTTGGAGTTGGAGGCGGAGGGGGGGCGTTGTGTGTGTTCTGTGTGGCTTGTGTGTGCTTAAGTGAGCGTTGGGTGTGGTATGGTTGGTATGTGTTTTTGTACGGCGGCCGTGTTGTGTGCTGGGTTGGCCGTCGTGTGGTGCGTTTTGTGTTGGATATTTAGTCGTTTAGGCTTATGACCCAAGCATGTGGAATGTGCCCCATCTTGTCAGATCGTTAAAGCTAAGCGGGTTTTAGCCTGGCACAGTTGGGTGACTGCCATGCATTAAACAGGCGTGCTGTAGGCTGCTGTGGGGCTATGTTGTCGACAGAGGGGAGCGTGGCTCAATGCATTATTGTTCTATACGTCTGTGCCCCCCACCTTAAACGTGCACTGACCAGCGTGGTGAAAAATGGCTAATAACCCCCTTTCATGCATAGGGGAGGCCCTTATCCAGCAGTGGATGTACAGAGTAAATATGGTCTGGCTAAATGCGATTTGTGTGGTTTTTTTATGGTTGGCTTAGTGAGTGTTTTTGTGTTGGGTGTAGGGTATCTGACCAAAGTATTGAAATTTACCTTAACAGACAACTTTAAAGACTCGAGGTTGCAGCTTTATAAACACAGAACAATAAACACTGCTAAGTTTAACATGTCCCAGATGGTTCTAACTAGTTATCGCATGCTAGCCCCTGCTTGCTCTGTTCTGCCCTTTTCAGAGTTTACACTGGGAATACTTGCTACTAAACCATTCACTTTTTCATGAGACAGTAATACAAAAAAAAACACACGTGCAGCCCCTTT